CTTTGAAGACTGTTCAGAAGCTCCAAATGGTCCAACAGGCGGCAGCCAGATTGCTCACCAGAGCGACATACAGGAAGCATACAACGCCCGCTAGGTCAGCTCCACTGGCTGCCAGTCTGCTACCGAGCACAATTCAGAGTGCTGGCTTTAGCCTATAAAGCCCTAAATTGTTCTGGCCCAGCTTACCTGTCTGAATGTATTTCCCCCTATGAACCAACTCGGAGATTAAGATCATCCGGGGAGGTCCTGCTCTCGGTCCCGCCTCCTTCGCACACGTAACTGGTGGGAACAAGAGACAGGGCCTTCTTGGTGGTGGCCCCTCGGCTATTGAGCATCCTCCCCAGTGACATTAGATCAGTCCCCTCTCTCCTAGCCTTCAGAAGAAAGGTGTCAGATCAGGTCTTCAGAGAATAGTGCAGTGCAATTAACAGATTTGGAATATATGGAATAACCATGGAATAACTTGCAGTATGGCTATGGATGGTGTGATTTTAATATGGAATTGAATGTTTTAAAATGATTAATATGTTTTAATTTTAATCTAATTTATTTTTTTTGGAATCGTATGTATTTTAAGGCATTGAATTATTGCCTCTATGTAAGCCGCCTTGAGTCCTCTTCGGAGTAGAGAATAAGGCAGGGTATAAAAAGAGTAAATAAATAAATAAATAAATAAATAAATATTTTAATTGAAACTAATACAAAAACCCTGGCGGAGTTGGAAAATTTTAGTTATGAAAATCCACATGACTAGAAAGGTGGGGGTGCCATTGGCTTCCAATATTTTTTTCCTGAGCCAGTTTAAATTGCATATTTTAAGTTTTTCAGAAAGGCATTAATAACTGAAATCATAATAATAGTAATAATAATAATAATAATAATAATAATAATAATAATAATAATAATAAATTACAATTGATACATTTGGAACCATCACATTTCAATGAACTTTGCTTTTGATCAACAGTTACAAGTAAACACTGTGATAAGACTCAAAGCAAACTTTTGCTTTAACCCCAAGAGTTCTTGATTTATTGCTTGCACAACAGATAGAAGTGAAGCAGTGATTCTTGAAATGTCTTGACCTAAAAGAGCTGTCACGCAGACCATCCAATTGAAGAAGTTTCTAGATTCATTGCTGAACATTCAGACTGTAGAAGTGGCAAGATGATTATGGTTCTTTCTGTTTTGTGCACTTTAGATATTTGTCACTTATAGATATTTGTCACTTATAGATATTTGTCACTTATAGTTATTTGTCACTTACAGCCAATACATTCCACATAGAGCTGGGAATAGTTGTGTCCTTGAAATAGGAGACTACAACATTCTGCTACAAGTTCCACTTATAGTCGTTTTTGTTGTTATTGGTGGTATGTGCATCTTTAATGAGATTTTACTTAAACAATACATACTTGGCAATATTATACTATCTGTTAGATTGAAGGAAAGCAAAGAAACATTGGAAACCCATATATATATATAGTAATTACAGTGCCTTTTGACATATCCTGGGAATATTATTTGAAATAAGGCATACAACATAATATGGTAACTTGAAAGCAAGAAGCATAAAACATCCCTAAACAGTACAGTAGAGTCTCGCTTATCCAATATAAATGGGCCTGCAGAACGTTGGATAAGCAAAAATGTTGAGTAATAAGGAGGGATTAAGGAAAAACCTATTAAATGTCAAATCACATTATGATTTTACAAATCAAGCATCATGTTTTACAGACATCCTGTTTTACAACAAATCGACAGAAAAAGCAGTTCAATACATGGTAACATTATGTAGTAATTACTGTATTTACACATTTAGCACCAAAACATCACAATGTATTGAAACAGCTGTGGATCCGGGTGGGAAGCAGACTGCATTGGATAATACAGAACGTTGGATGAGCGAAGGTTGGATAAGTGAGACTCTACTGTGATTTATTTACCCAAAACTCCTTTAAGAGGCATTTGGCTTTTAAGAAAGCTGAAATGGATTGTAATTTCTTTAGTCTTTTCAGTTCCTTACCTTTTAAAATATTAATGTTATTAGGCACTTAGGCAAGCTTCTAATATATATTCTCTGGATTCCTTTCTGCTGAGGATGTCGGTATTTTAAAATCCCTTGATCCTTCTTTCTATAGAAAACTATCCCATTTGGCTTCAAAGCTCAATGATAGTGTTGTTAATGGTAGGGATTCTAATATTTTAGAGTTCTTTTAGAGTACAGCTTAAGAGTGTCAACCATCCTATGAATTGGAACGATTCAGTAGAAATTGTTTACTCACACGTTCAAAAAGCTTTCAGCAAAATCTCTTCCCAAAGACTCCTGAGAAAACTTAGCACTCATAGAATAAGACGATAAGTTCTCCTGTAGAGGGAATGCTAAAAAATAGGAAACAAAAAATAGGATGTAATGGAAAATTCTTGAAAGAAGATTTACAAATGGTGATGTCCTGCAAAAGTCTGTCATGGAACTGGTGCCTTCAAACTGATTTTTCATAAGTTATCTGGATAAGCAGTAAAGTTGCTATATCAATTGATGGTGTACATTTTTAGGGCAATAAAAACAAAGCAAGTTAGTACATTCACCAATGAGGAGGTACAATATATTTTCCAGCAACGAGTATAACATAATGGTTTGACTGTTTGTTTGTTTATTTATTTATTTATGATATTTCTATCCCACCTTACTCAAGCCCCAAGGCGACTCAAGGCGGCTTACAAATTGGCAGCAATTTGATGCCATAACAATCCACAATGTACAATTAAAACGTTTAAAACAGCACTATAAAATTAGTATAAAATCAATACAATACAAAAACCATTAAAAACATACAATAACCAATATCTTCCTGTTCATCTCACTTTCCAGTAGCCTTGTCTAAGCCGTTCCATGTTTCAAACTTACATAATTCTGTGTTTGTCTATTGCACAGCATTTCCAAAGGTTTGTTCCAAGAGCCAGATTTTTACTTTTTTTTTGAAAGGTCAGGAGGGAGGGGGCTGGAACCGTTTAGGGCTTTATAGGCTAAAGCCAGCACTTTGAATTGTGCCTGGTAGAAGACTGTGATTCAAGAAGGCCAGGGTTAAAATCTCATCTTGAACTTGGAAACGTACCAGTCATTCTCTCTCAGGCAATGGCATACTTCCTTTGAATAATATTTTCCAAGGAAATTGAGTGATAGGTTGTCTTAGGGTCTTCCTAAGGAGCTATCCAGACAGGCCCTAAAACACGTCCCCTCTCACTTCTTCATAAAAGCGACTGCATTCGGAACAAAGCAGGGAAACTCTGCTTTGTGCCAAGATTAGTTGTGAGTGGGAAAGAAGCGGGTCTTCTTGAAAGACCCATGTTTTTCTCACTGAGGGTGGAGTCAGAACTGTCTTCTCAGAAGTCCTAGGACTTCTGGGGGAACTGTCCGCACTGCCCTCTCACATTTTCAGAGCAAAATCAGTCCGGAAAATGTGAGAGGGCTTTAACTCCCTCCCCAAAACCCCTTGAAGTGAGGGAAAAGTAAAAGAATTTACCCAGCCACCATGAAAGTGCTGCTTGCCCTCTGCTGGCTTGTAGGAAGTTTCATTGTGGCTGGGTAAGTTCTTTTAAACCCCTCCCCTCATTTTTAATGGTTTGGGGAGGGAGTGGGGGCTGTCTCCCTGGCCTCCCAGAAGGTTCCAGGAGGGCATCTGGACACCCACCCCAGAAAGCATGCACTTTCTGGGGTATGTGTGGACTTCAATGTGAGTGCAATCGCATGTTTAAAACTTGATTGCACTCACATTAAAGTGCTTTGTGAAACCGCCCTAAGTTGGAATTGACTTGAAAGCCCACAAAACCAACACTAAGCCAAAACTAAAAGAGATTATGCATATCTTCAGAGGGCTTTATGCAAACTGGGGAAATTGGCATTTAAATGGAAAACATATATAAGGGGGTGGTGGATCTGCACTGCATATATCCACTAAAAGCACCCAATCCGATGTGGCTGAGCAGTAAAAGGGTTCTTGGAATTGTGAAAGATAGTTTGCATGATCTGTCAATCCAATATGCAAATGACATGAAAAATTGTATATGGGCACAACCAGAAAAGGGGATGATACTACCAAGCATTCGTGCAGTAAATATAGCAGTGCAATAATGATAATGAATTGATGTGATTGACAAATGGACAGGCCTGGGACTATGATTTGAATTTGTGTGATTTTTACTGTTGTTGTAATACTTGATCTTTTAAAATTGTTTGGATTTCAATTGTATTTGATTATTTTTGGATTGATATGTGTTGGCATCAAATCACTGCCTGTTGTAAGGCTGCCCTGAATCCCCTTCAGGCTGAGAAGGGCAGGATACAAATGTGGAAAATAAATAAATACTACTAGTATATCATAATGATTTCATATAAATAAGCACAAGTAGAACACTGTACATAGGTCTGGCCATTACACTTCAGAAGTGTATTATTTATCTGGAAAAGGTGTAGAAAAGAGCAACCAAAGTGAGCAAGGAGCTGGAGCAATTCTCATATGAGGAAAGCTTACTACACTTGAGGGTGAAAATTGGAGAGGGGGATATTTTTCTCCCTGTCTCATAATCTGAAACCCAGTGTCAGCCAATAAAACAAAGCAGTGGGAGATCAGGACACACAAATTAAGCATTACATCACTCAGCACATAGTTATGCTATGCAAAGATGTTGTGATGGCTGCCAACACAGGCAAATTTAAAATGAGAAGAATCAGAAATCTGTAGGATGACATTATGCACTCTATAGCTCATAGTCAGAATGGCTATATTTTACTTTATGTGGCAAAGACTGTGTGCTTCTTATTACCCATTGCTTAGAAACACAATCATGAGGGTGCCATTATACTTATGTGTTGTTTGTTGACTTCCCACAGACAAACTCTTATTCTTTTAATTGAAAGTATAATATTTACTCTTGATTGTTGCTATAATAGAGCATCCAGCTGGGGGAAAAATCTTCATTTAACCTATTTTCTATTACAGTCATCTTTATCAAACAGCGATATCATCTTTGTGAAGTTGCATGCTCCATGGGAAGTGCTGGGCAAACATGCAGAACTTATGAATGTAAGAATGCCTTTCAGGTAGGTTTAGTTATATTTGGAAGTTTACTATCTGCTTTTTAAAAAATGTAAAATGAGAATGAAAACCATAAGTTGGCTGTTTCTAGTGGGCTGCATTTTTTTATTCAGTTTCAATTTTAATTGAAGGTGATATATAAGCAGTGCCACTATTTTCACGGGGTATTCTGTCCTCAGGCCCTTTAACCCCTTCACTGCTGGAGCCCCCTGCATACTCGTGCCCTGCTGTTTTTTAAATGGACATTTCTTTGAAAACAATGGAAGGTCCAGGAGATCCAGGTACGTACGGCAGCACAGCAAGTGCATGCCTGTTGAACGTATCTGGCATATTCAACACTCGTAACTTGCCAGTATGCGTACTCCGTCGCTGGAGGCAAAGGTCACCTAATTACTTAAGCATTTACTAAAAATAATAATTTCAGATTTACCAAGTTAAATATGTTACTTGTATTTTAAGAAAAAAATTGTAGAATTTCCATATTGTATCAATGACCAAATTGATATCCAATTATCATTAAGATAATGTGGATAATTTGGCGGTATAAACATGTCTAAAATCAAATATGATTTATTGTCAAAGGCTTTCATGGCTGGAATTACTAGGTTGTTGTAAGTTTTTCTGGCTATATGGCCATGTTCCAGAAGCATTCTCTCCTGACGTTTCACCTGCATCTATGGCAGGCATTCTCATGGCCATACAACCCGAAAAACATACAACCCAAATATGATTTACATGAATGTATTTTTAAAATTTAGAACTAAAACCTATTTTATGCTTAATTATTTAGAGAACTGGTTTTAAGATAGATTTCTTTGGCTTCAACTAATCAATATTAATATATTCAAGCAGCCCAATTCATCTTCCACTTGTAACTCAATTAACCAAGTACAGTGGGCTCTCTGTATCTACAGATTCTGCACCCATGGATTCCACCATCCATGGCTTGAAAATACCTTCCCCGCCCTCCCAAAATCAACATGTTGTCATTTTATATAAGGGGACTTTACTCTGCCACTGTATATAATGGGACTTGTGCAGCCACAGGTTTTGATATCCATGGGGGCTCCCAGAATCAAACCCCAGCAGATACAAAGGGCCCGTTGTAGATACATATTTGACCACTAATTCTTTAACAAAAATTTTGGTGCGAGGCAGAAATAAAGAATAGGGTGGGGACAAAAAACAAAAGACAGTTCAACATGTTTGAAATCTTTTTGTTCTCAAATAATAATAAGCATTTATGAAATTAAACAACAGATCAGGTAGTACTTGATTAAGTACAGAAAAAAACCATTTTGAACCTTTTATAGCCCACCTAAAAGTGTCTTCCAAAATGTAGCCAGGATAATTTTTATTTCTATCAGCCTCCACTTTTCTTAAGGTTTTCATTTTGGTGTCTAAATTGAAAGATCTGTGCTTGCGTTTAGCATGCTAAGGGTAGCTGCAGAGAAAAGTCTTATCTGCCTTCCCCTTTTCTCTCTGCTTTGCTGTTTGCAGATGCTTAGCAAAGGGGCTTGGAAGCAAGCTTTTATTTACCTTGCCTGTTGTAGGCAGACACCCTCAACCAGAGAATGATCAGTTAGAACAGAATCCCATTATTTTCCAATTCAAACTTTGCTGAATTGTTTACAATAGACATGCTGCTAAAATGCAGCTCCTAAAGTCTGTGTTTTTCTAGTTCTCCTTCCTTCCAGTTCCAATGCCACTGAAAAATGTCCAGCTAAAGAAGAAAAGGAAGGTTATGTATGGACACAAAGACTTAGCAGTTGTTCTTAACCTGTGGGTCTCCAGATGTTTGGCCTTCAACTCTCCTAAATCCTAACAGCTGGTAAACTTTCTGGGATTCCTGGGAGTTGTAGTCCAAAGCACTTAAGGACCCACAGGTTGAGAACCACTGACTTAAAGGAAGCTTCTTTATGAGCTGCTTTGTTAATGGAGGCCTATATGTATATCCATAAATATTTTAAATGAAATGTTATTCCGTGTAATTTGAAAAGTAGATACCCTTGAAGAAAAGACAGTTTAGGGCTTCATAACCAATTATATTCTGTGGCCAACCTCTATAGCAGCAGTTCTCAAAGTGTGCTCCACGGAGCCCTTAGGGCTCTGCGAAGCATACTGAGGGGCTCCATGGTTCACTCCTCCTGCTCCCTCCCCCCTCTCCCAGTATTCCATCCTCTTTCCTGCTCCTCCCCCTCCCTCCTCACCACCGAAAGTCTTTCCCCCTCACCTTCCTTTCTTCCAAAACCCTATCCCCCCCCCCCCACTACTTAAGGGGTGCTTTGATTATACTTTTCCTGCATGGCAGAAGGGAGTTGAACTGGATGACCCTTGGCGTTGCTGCTATTATTATTATTATTATTATTATTATTATTATTATTACAAAGACTGGATGGCCACCTGTTGGGGGTGCTTTGATTGTGCTTTTCCTGCATGGCAGAAGGGGGTTGGACTGAATGGCCCCTGGGGTTGCTCTTATTATTATTATTATTATTATTATTATTATTATTATTATTACAAAGGCTAGATGGCTACCTGTTGGGGGTGCTTTGATTGTGCTTTTCCTACATGGCAGAAGAGGGTTGGACTGAATGCCCCTTGGCATTGCTGCTGCTGCTGCTATTATTATTATTATTATTATTATTATTATTATTATTATTATTATTATTATTATTACAAAGGCTGGATGGCCACCTGTTGGGAGTGCTTTGATTGTGCTTCGCCTGCATGGCCAAAAGGAGTTGGACTGGATGGCCCCTGGGGTCTTCCATTGAAATACTGTTACTATATGTTGGTTAAAATTGTTCTTCAAAAGTTTTCCCATGCCAGATGGATGGATAGATAGATAGATAGATAGATAGATAGATAGATAGATAGATAGATAGATAGGCAGACGTTATATATAATATTATATATAAACATTTCTTGGGGTTCCATGAGAAACCTTTGCATCAAAAAAGGGACCATGGTTGAAAATGTTTGAGAAACCCTGCTCTATATATTTTAAAAGCCCCAAGTTGTATCTTTAAGAGGTTATGGGAAAATCTACTCAGGGCAAAGTGCGGCAATCCAGATGTTGATCCACCTCAACTTCAGTGTTCCTGTGCTGGCCAGGGCTAATTGAAATTGATGCCTGACAACTCTGAGGCTGCATTTTGATTACTTCTTCTTTAAGCTATTAATTCCCTTGCTGAAGCCTAGCAAGATCAAAACTACAGGCAGTTCTGTAGGTTTGTTCCCGAGTTAAATTTGTTTGTAAGTCAAAACTGGTACATTTTAAAGTGTAACTCCAGCTAAAACTATATATATTTTTAATCTTTGGATAGCATAGGGAAGGGTTAACACCCATGTGGTGTTTGTTTTGGGTCTGTGCCCCTTTTCAGAAGATTTCACCTCACTTTCTGTCCCTGTGATAATTGGATTTTGAAAAATTTGGCTTGCTGTGGAAACAAGGACTGTTGAGGAAATTTCAGTGGAGACACCTTTTCCCCATGATAACTCTTCCAGGAGTGAATTTCCATTCCGAGGAGTAGATTTCTCTCACTTCCTGTGGTCTTACCCCATTCTTAACTATGAGTTGTTTGTAAATTGACTGTATATCACTGTTTCAACAGTGGTTGAGTTTTCATATTCAGGCACATCCTTTGAGGTTTACTTTATCCATATTTTTGAATTTAAGTAGCCAATCTAACTCATGGATCAAAAATTTAAAAAACCTCAAATTTACAGATATGGGGAACTGAGCATAAGAACCTCTCATAGAGGGTGTTCTTCATTTTGGACAATAAATATTTCATGACATCTTCTTTAACAAGGGCTCTGACTAGCTTCTGTATGCTATTTAACAATGGCTGAATCTTGTACATTTTAACAATGACTGTATATTATACACGGAACATAATTATCTTGCCAAATCAGATCAATGTCCATCAAAATCAGCATTCTGTTTCCAACAATGATCATTCAGGTATTTTGGGGAAATTTACCAAAAGGGCATGGGGGCAACAAGGACTTGCCCTAGACATTTCTGCCTGAGTTTTGCTGCCATCCATTGCACATACCTGACTTGACTAGTAATTGGGTTCGCATTAATGATGGGGCACTCTTCTACTGCACCAAAAAACAACAGGCACTAATTTAAGGGGCACACACATATCTGTCCACTAATAGTATGTTGATATCCATTACTCTGTAGCATGAGACAACCACTCTATTCTGTGTAAGAACAGGTGTAGCACATCATAGAGATACTGGACAATACCTAGAACTGTTTTGATTAAGGACCTCATCACATGAAGTCACCCAACATGGGTGAGAGCCAGGGGTGGGAGGTCACTAGTCAGCGTGGTAAACCTGTGGAACAGTGGGGGAATCCATCACCCCACAACCCACGGAGTTGCCCTCCCCATCCCACAGGGAAAAGCGTCGCTGTCCAGATTCCCCCTGAGCTTACCTATTGCTAGCAACGATAACATAGGAAGCCTCCCGTGTCTTGTTGCTCCATCGTGAAACACTTTCAGCTCAATTCAGGGAGAGAGCTCTGCTGGAAGTAGCTGTATGTCATTTGATGGTATCCAATGGGTTCGGTCCCCAAACTGTGCTGAAAGCATCGTACGGCAGGTAAATTTGCCCATGTGATGAAGTCATACTGTTATCCTGAAGACAATATCAATCACAGAAGCAGGAAAGTAGAGTTTTGTTAATCCATCCATAATTGTTTTAGGTCTAATCTTATCAACCAATATATTAGAAAATGGGAATTTGTAGTGGGACGTATTGCTGTGCTAACAGACTGCTACAATCTAAGACAGGCATCCTCAAACTGTGGCCCTCCAGCTGTTTGGACCTTCAACTCTGAGAATTCCTGACAATTGTTAGGACTTCTGGGAGTTGGAAGCCCAAATAGCTGGAGGGCTGCAGTTTGTGGATGCCTGATCTAAGACTAAGCCAGCTATGACATTAGATGAGCAGTTAACACAAAAGCATCAACGCACAGGCTGGATCTATGCTGCCCTTTATACCAGGATCTGATCCCAGAATATCTGCCTATCCCAGATTATCTGGCAATGTAGACTCATATAATCTAGTGCAAAGCAGATAAACAGCTTACTTGTCCAAACGTATCTCTCTCTACATCCCTCCACGTAGCTTAAGATCATCCAGGGAGGCCCTGCTCTCAGTCCCAACAGCCTTGCAAGTGTGCTTGGCGGAGATGAGGGACAGGGCCTTCTCAGCGGTGGCCCCACGCCTGTTGAACTCGCTCCCTAGCGAGATCAGGTCGGCTTCTTTCCTTCTTTCTTTTAGGAAGAAGGTTAAATCACGACTCTGGACAGTAAGCATGACAACATCTTGGATGTTGAACCAGACTGAAATTGGCTATATGGTTGATGACAATGCTTTTAATGTGTTTTTAACTTAATGTTTTATTTATTGTTTTAAACTGTTGCTATTTGTGTTTATATTTGTATTATATTGAGATTTCAAATTGTGGCAGGTTTGTAAGCTGCCATGGGTCCCCCCCTTGGGGGTTGAGAAGGGAGCGGATAGAAATATTGAAAATAAATAAATAAATAATCTGGGATCAGATCCTGGGATATAGGGCAGCATAGATCCAGCCACAGATGTCTCCAAGTACCCTTTTATAATTAATAATAGATTGAATCTTTATCAAAATTATTGTAGAGATTAAACATTTGATAATTTTTTCAAGTTAACAATGTAAGAAGGGACAGAATATACAAATAACTCATACCTCATTCATTTTCCCTTTTTTGTAAGTTATTGAAATATTGCAAGCATCACTCCCCTTAATGGAAAACACAAACCAGCCTCTTTTAGCATTTTACCCCCAGTCAAGGGACCTTCCTTTCACATTTTTATAGTTCCATGTCCTTCACAGATCATTTCAGCACAAATACACACAAGACATGGACAAGCATTTGTTAAACTGTTGCATAGGGTATATCTGCCATTTTGTTAGGGTGAGAAAGGTAGAAAAAGAGCCTATCTTGTTCAATCAATTTGATTTGACCGCTAAAATCAAATGGGCATTCCAGCCAATATACTTTTGCAATCACAATATAGATGCAAGAAAGGGGGGATAAAACTTGTCATTGGTCTAACATAAATGGGGAGAAGCACCTATCAAGTCTTTACATATTGTTTATGTGCTGCATGAATGTCACCTCTGTGCATCATCAGTAACACCAGTATCCGCTGTATGTGTACTGCATGCATAGTTATGCCAATCTCCCAATGCCAAGCGCTATCTACCTCTGTATGAATGTTTTAATGCTCCTTTTTTGTAAGCATATTCCATTTATCCAAAAATTCAGTGGTTGATGCTTCAAGCATAGCACTGACTTTATTTATATTTCCATTTGCATTCCAAAAAGTTGGCATCATTGCGAGGGCCATTTGAAAGACAAATGCCTCTTGATCACGTTTTTCCATGCATGATATAAGTGGAAGAAAGAAGAGTAATCAGAATGAAAGTATTTTCACAGTTTCCCTGATACCCAAGACTATTGTGGGTTCTGTGATAGTTCTGTCTGTTAATCTCTCTCTTTAGTTTCTTCCTCCACCTCTTACAGGCTTCTATCTTCAATCTCCTTTCCTTCCTTGCTAGTTCATACTGTAACTGACGATGGGTTTTCTTCTCGACTGGCTTCATTTTTGCTGTTCTTCCAGGAGAAAAATCTATTACCTGCACCGCCGATACAAGTTCCTGAACAGGTTAGTGATTTCCTTCCGTGTTAACATATTAATGCAAAAAGTAAGGCATTCATCTGTGAATTATTATTTATGTAAATACAGTGATTACTGTCCAGTGAACTACTGTTACCTTGATATGTACTTCTCAGCTAAGTTAGGTAAAGGTTTTCTCCTGGCATTAAATCCAGTTGTGTCCGACTTTGGGGGTTGGTGCTCTTCTCCATTTCTAAACCGAAGAGCTGGAGTTGTCCGTAAACACCTCTAAGGTCATGTGGCCAGCATGACTGCATGGAGCGCTGTTACCTTCCCGCCGGAGCAGTACCTATTGATCTACTCACATTTACATGTTTTTGAACTGCTAGGTTGGCAGAAGCTGGGGCTAACAGTGGGAGCTCATGCCGCTCCCCGGATTTGAACCTGTGACCTTTTGGTCAGCAAGTTCAACAGTTCAGCACTTTAACCCACTGTGCTATCTAGTATAAAAGCTGCTATTAGAAAACATAGTAAAGGGAAAGGTTTCCACTGACATTAAGTCTAGTCGAGTCCGGCGCTGCGAGGTAGTGCTCATCCCCATTTCTAAGTCAAAGAGCTGGCGTTGTCCATAGATGCCTCCAAGGTCATGTGGCCGGTATGATTACATGGAGCACCATTACCTTTCCACGGAAGTGGTACCTATTGATCTACTCACATTTGCATGTTTTTGAACTACTAGGTTGGCAGAAGCTGAGGCTAATAACAGGAGCTCCCCCGTCTTGCAGATTTAAACCGCCAAGCTTCCAGTCAGCAAGTTCTGCAGCTTAGTGGTTTAACCTGCTGCGCCACTGCAGCCCCCAATTTAGAAGAAATACAAATGAGAAGAAATACATATCCAAATATCTCTTGTTTCCATGGAATGAAGGGATTCCTACACGTTAGTAATCTAGCATGCAATACAATAAGTAAAGGTTAATGTCTGGTGACTTTGTTAGTTAGTAAGACATTATTTTTTGGACATTTTACTCATGAGCTCCAGACTATCTATTCTGTAAATATTTGCTTATGTCAAACAAACATTGCCAGCTCTAGTGGTGGGTGGCACTGGCAAAAAAACTCTCTGAGACAACAGCTGTGTCCCCATAACTGACACTTGTTCATACTGCTCCGAAAGAGGCTCAGTAAACCTTTTTTAAAGTATCTTTTAGCATCTAATACATAAGTAATGGGGCAATGGGATCCGGTACAATTCTCAATGTTGTTCAGCTTTAGCAGGTTCTGAAAAGCAGGATCTGAAGCTGTGAATGTGAATCAACACTACTGGTATGGGACTGTGCATAACATCCTTCCAGATGTTGGGGAAATTAATGTTTTACATTACAGCTCCTTGAGAATACAGTAGTTCTCAAACGTTGCTTTCCCAAGCACAGCCTCTTGATTTCCTATTGTTTCTTGAGCCTCGCATCTTTTGCCCTACAAGGGGAAAAGCAAGCTTTTATAGTGGACATAATGATCAGTCTTGTAGCCTCCAATAAACATTCCTTTTAATAAAAATGGGAGACTCTTCGCATATCTCTTGTGTATTTGGCCTGAAAATACATCTGGCTCTCTATCAAATCTCAAGAAACCTCTGTGTGGATAAACTTCTTTGAAATTTCTGTTCTGCTTCGCTGGCACTCTCCTGTGTGTGTGCATGCACGCACACGCCTGTCAATGCATGTGTTGACCTATTGAATGGATACTATTAAATCTTATCACTGTGACTGCTTTCAGCTCTCAAGCTGTATGGGATTTTTTTCTTTGAGAATTCATGCCTTTTACAGCATGTCAACACAATGCAGTGGAGCCAAACTGACAGGCCATCTTTTTGAAATTGCACCTTCTGTGACATACAAGTGGGTGGCAAATGGACATAAAGTTATTACATTTTCTAAAGTTCTGCTTCCAGAGCTTTTTGTCCTTGAATCTGAAATAGCCATATCTAAATCTCCACTATGTAGTTTGTCAATTAAAATGAGAATGTAAGTGAAACTAGCGAAAAGCTTCAGGAAATGAGATCTCTATGGGTTTATTTTAGCTGTCCTGAGTTTTGTAGTAGAGTGGTCACTTGCACATTGTAAGAAAGCAATTGCTATATATCACAGAGGGGGCTGCGGTGGTACAATTGGTTAAACCGCTAAGCTGCAGAATTTGCTGAACACAAGGTTAGCAGTTCAAATCCGCGGGACAGGCTGAGCTCCCGTTGTTAGCCCCAGCTTCTGCCACCCTAGCAGGTCGAAAACATGCAAATGTGAGTAGATCAATAAGTACTGCTTCAGTGGGAAGGTAACGGCACTCCATGCTTTTATGCCAGCCACATGACCTAGGAGGCATCTATGGACAATGCCGGCTCTTTGGCTTAGAAATGGAGATGAGCACTCCCCCAGAGTCAGACTATTCTTAATGTCAAAGGGAAACCTTTACTTTTTTTATATACACCACAAATAAAGGACTGTCCTTCAAACAGATGACTATCCTCCATAAACAGAACATGTGCAAGATCACAGAAATGGAATTGGTAATGCATTGGGTTGAACATGCAAACTGGTGCAATGTTACAATTCAACACAAGGATTGCATCCTCTCCAACATTTCACAATTGAAAACTGAGACACATATTATAATTATAAATATTTATAATATTATAATGTAATGCAATATAATACTTCTACTAATAATATGATGTTGTAATTATATATTTATACTACATGTCATATTACTAATAATATTACAATATAATGGTATAGTACAATATAGTAATTTTAATACTGATATTGTACTATGTTAATAATATAATATATTGTATGCATATATAACTTGTAAGCTGCTCTGAGTCCCCTTCAGGGTAAGAAGGTTGGCATATAAATGTCGTAAATAAATAAATGTGACCAAGCAATATTGGAGTGAGGTCAAAAGTTATTAAGGACGAAGAACACACAAACTGGGAGAAGTTGCAGCAATTTTCTTTTGTGTATTGTCAAAGGCTTTCATGGCCGGAATCACTGGGTTGTTGTGTGTTTTCCGGTGTGTATGGCTATGTACCAAAAGCAGTTTTCTTTTGCCGTCCTGTTGAGAAGGACAAGAGTCTCCCACTTTTCTCCTCTCTTTCATAACATATTAACTATTTTTGCACTTTGAATTCCGTTTGCAGTAATTGAAATAAGCTGTGGACAAAAGAAAAACGAGAAAATAGAGGAACTGGGATATTTTAAAATCAGTTAAAAAGGTGGGATGACAGGATTAATAGGGACCATCCCTGTTAAATCAGGACAGTTGGAGGGTATGGGACTTGGCAGCACAATCACTGCATAACACACATGTGGAAATCTATGCTTTACAACTGTGATGTAGTATCATGGCCATGACAATTCTACGTTATATTGAATGTTTCTATTCTATCAGGAAATAAACTAGAGGAAATACTGTTTCTGTATTATTAGCAATGAGTCCATTAATTACCGTTCTTTTTTTCCCATTTTTTAAATTGTTTCAACATTACAGCATCTTGCTTACACTTAGTTTCCATTGGTGCTCATACACTGCATTTCCATGTAACGTTACTGCACATAACAACCTTCTCTTTTTATACAACCTTCTCTTTTAAAAAGGAAAAAAAGTGAGGGGAAAATAGATGACTTCCGGTCTATCCCAATCTAGTCACAAAGAAAGCTAGTATCATACACTTCACCCTCCAGATGTTTTGGCCTTCAACTCCCAGGAATCCTAACAGCTGGTAAACTGTCTGGCATTTCTGGGAGTTGTAGGCCAAAGCACCTGGGGACCTACAGGTTGAGAACCACTGCTCTAGATCTTTCTGTGCTCACTCTTTTCTCATATTACAACAACAGCAAAACCCTTTAATTTATTCTTCAAAACTCAGAATGGGCAAGCTGTTCTCGACTTCATGCAAAAAGTGAATAAAAGGTTTCCAGACTTTTAAAAAGAGTTTGCAATATCCCTTCTTTTAGTAGGTCTGTTAATTTGTCCATTTCAGCCAAGTCCATCATTTTTATCATCCAATCCTCTGTTGTTGGTATTGTTGTACTTTTCCATTTCTATGGGTATAGCAGTCTGGCTTCTGTGGTCATATATTGCCATATTCTATCATGGTTATTTTAGTCAGTCAGACTAAGTAAAAAAACCTCCATTTTTAGCTGGATGCTTCCCCCTAAAATTTTCTAGATCACTGTATTTATTTGAATCCAGTATTTCTCGACATGTTTGCATGTCCACTACATATGATAGAAGGACCACACTTGTTTACATTTTCAGCAAATATTGGAGCTCTTTTTATATATCTTAGAGAGCTTTTCAGGAGTCATGTGCATCATTTTATAGAAATCCTCTTTTAAGTTATAGCGTTCCATGAATTGTAACCCTTTATTCCACATTGTCTCCCATTGTTCCAACATTATATTGTGTCCCACATATTGTGCCCACCTTATCATGCATTCTTTGACTTGCTTATCTGCCATTTCCCATTTCAATAACATTTTATACATTTTAGCAATTAAATGTTCATCATTTTTTAACTCAAATTCTGATTTGCTTATTTCAAAACTAACTGACTGCTTCTCTTGTCTGAATCTCTCCATTAACTGTAAATAAGAAAACCACTGGAAGCCAAAACCCTCTGCAATTAATTGTCTTCTTGTTTTAATTCTATAGTCTCCATGTACATTTTCTAAGAGATCTTGATATGTTAACCATTTCTTCTTACCTTGCATCTCTTTTCTATAAAACACGTCTTGCACAAAATACCCACCCTGGTATCTTCGGGCATAAGATTTATTTATATATTTCCCTTATTGATAATAAAACACATCTAACATGGTTTTTGAAATCCACATTCACTTTCACTTAATCATACCACATATATCCATGCTAACCATATCTCAGATCATGTCCCCCCAGTGTTAACATCCTGATATTAATCAACATTTTTTAATCCAAACTAAACAGTAAACAGTGAAGTAGAGTTTCAAATTAGGTGTGACTAATCCACCCCTTTCTTTTGCATTTTGTAGTACCTTAAATTTAATTCTTGGCTTCTTTCCTTGCCATATAAATTTAGATATATCTTTTTGCCATTTCTTAAATAGTTTATCTGTTACGATCACAGGTATTGTTTGAAAAAGGAACAAAAATCTTGGCAACACATTAATTTTTATCACAGAGAACCTGCCCAAAATCAACACTTGTAATTTATCCCGTCTTAAGTCTTTTTAAATATATGTCCATAAGGTTTCATAATTATTTTGGAACAGGAGACAGTTTCTATTTGCCAGAGTAATGCCTAGGTACATTAAGTACTGTTCTTGATTTAATATACAAATCATTTAAATCAATATACCATCAATTAAGTCAGCTTCAAACCTTTGGGAAAGTTAGTGCACATTGGGAAGAAAGGTTCTCTTTCTCCCAGTTACCCATGTCTATGAAAGAAGCCAAACACACAGAAGCTTCTGTCTTTTCAACCTCCAGCCCAGGAGACAAGAGGAATGCATTATTCTCATCTCCTCTCTTCTCAAAATATTTGGCAAAGCACCAGGTAGCCATGCTGTCTTGAGAAGAAAAGCCAAAAGAACTTCCTCTGCAACCTGTAGCAATTTAAACAAGGTGATGATCCTGTGATCAAATTGATTTGGTTGTACTTTATGGAAGGAAGTAGCAAAATGGGAATCTGTATATTGTCATGAATTTCCAGAACATCTCTCTGTTTTGTTCATTATTGTATGCTTGTTATGTTGGAAATACCTGTTTCAGCCTGATATCATTATTGATGACTTTAATTATCCTTTTTATCTTGCCTTTCCTGTGCTGCAGAATCGAGAAACAATTAAGCAGGTTTCGAGGATGGTTACCTAGAAAGCCGATGAGGCTGGACAAGGAAAGGATGCCAGACCTGGAGGAGAACGACTGCTACACGGCTCCATTCAGTCAGCAAAGGATTCATCAGTGAGTGTTCTTGTATTGAGACAAATACATTCTGTTTTCAGTTTATATCAGAGGATATAGAAGATGTTATATAGCCTACTATTATGGCTGCAGCCTTACCGCACTGTTTGAATTTCTGCTCAGAATTTTCATTTTGATATGGAGAGAGATTTCACTAAATCAAAAATAGTGTTTCCCGAATTCAGTCTGTGTTGTTGTTGCTATGTGCTTTCCAGGTTGTTTCCAACTTATTAGATTCAAAGTTGACTCAGTCATAGGGTTTTCTCGGCATAGGATTTTCGCAGATCGGGTTAGCCATTTCCATACTCTTAGGCTGAGGGAGTATGACTTGTTAACATCACCCAGTGGACTTAAATGGCTGTGTCTCCCAGAATCCTAACACAACACTCAAACCACTACACCAGACTGTTTTTTACAGTGTATATACTTAACAGGGGGAAAAACACATTGATAATTATTGTCTTTTGTTTATTTAATTCCAATTTAACAATATAGTCATATCTTTACAGAAGCATAACTATAAAATAATATGAAAGCATTAGATACTAACTAATCAAACAAGCAAATGAAGAACAGGATGTCAATGTTTAACTCAGCAATACAGCAAATAGAATGTTTGAGCACATATAGCACAATCCAAAACTATATTTTTTATTGTTTTGCAGATATATATTTTAAGAAATATGGCAAACCTTTACACTTGCATAATGAATAATACAAATGACCCTGAGACTTAAAACTTTGAGTAAGAACCTCATCCCTTAGGCTTATTAATTCCTTTGGCCTGCATGAGATCAGGATGCCTTATTTATTTATTGTGTCAGAAGCAAATTGAGAATACAGTTAAAATGTATTTGAAAAACCACAAACAAAGTTAAAAACCTGACATTATACTAAATGTCCTTTGATCAGAAGCTGGCCACTTCGAGTGCCTCCATTGTGTATGTGCATCACAGTAAATGGTCTGTGATTTGCTCTTCTACACACTCACATATCGTGGACTCCACTTTATAGCCCCATTTGTTAAGGTTGGCTCTGCATCTCGTGGTACCAGACTGCAGTCTGTTCAGCATCTTCCAAGTTGCCCAGTGTACTCCAGGAGAAGTCTCTCATCTGGTATCAGCCACTGATTGAGGTTCCAGGTTTTAGCCTGCCACTTTTGGACTCCCGCTTGCTAAGGTGTTTCTGCGAGTATCTCTGTAGATCTTAGGAAGCTATTTCTTGATTTAAAGCATTGGTTTGCTGTCTGATATCCGAACAGAGGATCGGCCGGAGATGTCAAAGATTTGATTACTGGTTGCTACTTTCCAACGGATGTCAGGTGATACGATACTGGCTAAACAGTATCATTTCTCCAATGATATAGGGCGTAGATATCCTGGCATGTCTCATTAAGAGCCACATCCACTGTTTTAACATGCTGAGATATATTCCACACTAGACATGCATATTAAGCAGCAGAGTAGCAAAGCACAAGGGCAGATGTCTTCGCGGTATTTGGTTGTGTAATCCTCAGGTTGTGCCAGTCAGCTTTAGTATGATACAATTCCTATGACATAGTCAGGCAGTGTTTCTTGTAAGTCAGAACATGGTCCAGGACAATTCCCGAGAATTTTGGTGTCCTGCAATGATGCCTTATCTCTTACTGCCTTCCATGAATGTTACAGGAAATGAATAAGTGTCAAAGGAGGGCAAAACAATAATGCTCGAAATGCTCCTTTTTTGCATCTATTGAACTTCCAGTAAATCAGAGTTACTGTATACACTGTTATTTTGTAACATTAAGTTTAAACCCAAGTTGATATTTGCTTTCTGGAATTTTCCAACCTCATTATATCAAGGAAATACATTTTGTGAGCAGATGATCTGAGGGAAACAATTGGAGAAACAAGTCCCACCTATTAGGAAACACATTTTATGTCTGAGGCTAATTTTGTTCTACTGATACTGTACATTCCTGCTACTTTTCTTAGCTTTGAAAATTGCTTTCACATGAAATGACTTCCAAGTAACCCTGCTGAGCATAAATGTTGTATTGTGATTTGCTGATTTGTCTTTTCTTGTCTTGCACAGCTGTTATGTCAGAAATGTCAATGACATTTTTTTTGCATTGCCAGGAACAATAACTGTCTTCCTTGCTTGTGCTATTTTTTTACAAATAGCTTCATCATCCACAACAAAGACACATTCTTCAACAATGCTACAAGAAGTAGAATTGTCCATCATATTTTACAGAGAGTGAAATATGAAGAAGGAAAAAATAAAATTGGTAAGTGTGGGAAATCGACAGATTGTTCTTCATATTGGCATTTCCTAGTATTTAGGCTGATAGTCTTAACAGGGACTGTGACACCCATATTATTTTCTTATGAGCTATACTCTAACCTCTACTCAACACTACACTTTAAATATCAACTAATAGCAAAAAGCTTTGGGAAATGTATGTGGCTGCTTCATCTTTATCTTAAAGAAATTTTTAAGAATTTTCTGTTTCCCTTCCAACATGTAACCTTATTATATTGCAAAAATCTTAGTCCCACCTTTGGTATATTGAATATTTTTGTTTCTAGGTCTGAATCGATTGCTTACAAATGGCTCCTATGAAGCTGCATTTCCTCTTCATGAGGTATTTTTCCATTTTGATTTTTCCTCATTCAGAGACAAAGAGAAGGAGTAAAGTTTACAGGAACACTTATTTTCTCTTCTTCCTCTGTCCCTTACTATGATATTAAAAGATAGAGAGAGGGCGATGTAAGGAGGTGCAAGAGAGAGAGAGAGACCGAACAGTGGGTTGCTGTGAGTTTTCCGGGCTGTATGGCCATGTTCCAGAAGCATTCTCTCCTGACATTTCACCCACATCTATGGTAGGCATCCTCAGAGGTTGAGGGGTCTATTGGAAACTAGGCAAGTGAGGTTTATATATCTGTGGAATGTCCAGGGTGGGAGAAAGAACTCTTGCCTGCTAGAGGCAAGTGTGAATGTTGCAAATGGCCACCTTGATTGACATTTAATGGCCTTGCAACTTCAACGCCTGACTGGTCGTTACCTGGGGGGGATCCTTCATTGGGAAGTGTTAGCTGGCCCTGATGGATTCTTGCCTGGAATACCCCTGCTTTTTGAGTTCTTCAAACTGAACCACCTAAACTGGGGTCAACAGGCCAATGGATACTCCACCACCAACATCAGAAGAGCTGCAAGACKAAGAACAAGCCACAAGAGTAAAGACAAAGATCCACCCAGTGGAAAAGTGTTCTTGCCATACATCAAGGGAACCACTGACCACATAGAGAAGCTGATGAAGAAACACAACCTACAAACTATCTACAGACCCACTAAGAAAATCCAACAAATGCTACGTTCGGCAAAGGACAAGAGGGATCCTTTCACCATACGGGGTTTACTGTGAAGGGGGTGAATAGAGCTTATTAGGAAATTATTAGTGCCTATTGGGAAAATGCTGAAAACTGTAAAAACCTAAGGAAGAGTCTTGTCCTTTGCCATAGAAAAGGGGCAAGGGCAAGAAGAGAGACAGAGTTTTGGGAGAGAACAGGAAAGAACAGGATGCAGAGCTGAAGGACAAGGGACAGGATGACATCCAAGGATCTGCAGTCATAACATGGATGCAGGAGACTCTTAAGTGGGTGAAAGGGCTCTGTCCTTGTAGAGTTGAGAGGAAGGAGGTGAAAGAACATGTTTTTGAAAGGAAGTTTGGAAGAGGGGTYGATCTGTTCATGATCTGTTCATGACACGGCAGAAAAAGGGTATAAGAATGATATTGGAAAGATCAAATGGGACAGGCAGCCTTTTCAGAGACATCTGATTGTCTTGCTGTTTCTGTCCAGTGRGGCCGCACTTGAAATAAAAAGATTTTTTGCTTCAAACCTCACAGAGACTAAATGTCTTTTTTAGATTCACCACATTTGCCTATTGAAATAGTTCCCTTCAACTGTATACCTTGCAGCTGTGGAAAAGTCTACATAGGGACAAATAAATGTAGCACCCAAACACGAATCAAGGAACATGAAAGGCACTGCAAACGAATTCAACCAGAGAAGTCAGCCATAGCAGAGCTCATGATAAACCAACCTGGGTGCAGCATATTATTTGAGAACACAGAAATGCTGGACCACTCTCACAACCACCATGTCAGTCTACACAGAGAAGCCATTAAAATTCACAAGCAGGTGGACAATTTCAACAAAAAGGAAGAAACCATGAAAATGAACAAAATCTCGCTACCACTATTAAAAAATTCTAAAATCAGGACAGTAAAGAAAAAGCAACACTCAAAAAGCAGTGGAATTCCAGATAAGAATCAATCAGGGCCAGCTAACACCTTCCAACAAAGGATTCCCCCAGACAACAACCAAGCTTTGAAACTGTGAGGCCATTAAATGCTAACCAAGGAGGCCAATTGCAACATTCACACTTGCTTCAAACAGCCAAGAGTTCTTTCTCACAACCTAGACATTCCACAGATATATAAACCTCACTTGCCTAGTTTTCTGGAGACCTCACAACCTCTGGGGATGCCTGACATAGATGTGGGTGAAACATCAAGAGAGAATGCTTCTGGAACATGGCCATACAGCCTTGAAAACTCACAGCAACCCAGTAATTCTGGCCATGAAAAAGCCTTTGACAACACAGAGATCAGACATTTTTACATGATCATTCTATTGAACAACAAATACTGACAAAATTACAAGGACAACACTACTAGATTTCATAATGTAGCCCAGATTTACAAATGTGTTTTGGAAGTGTTTCTCACCTAATATTGTTGATGTCTTTAGAACATAGGGTAATACACGCCCTGCAAACATAATCTGCACTCTAGATTCTAACTTTACAGCAAGGCCCACTCCAAGGAGATGACAAGGAAATCCACGATTCCCAGTATTGTTTGTGATTAGCAATTGGAGACAATCATGGGAATCCACTTGCACCCCCTTAGCATGTAGCATGTCCTCTTATTCCCTTCAGTGTAGGGTGGATGAAAACAACACAATCATGGTTACAGCTGGAAAAATATCCCACTAGCTATTACTTTGGTTGATGTTCCACCTCAACACCACATGGTTTTCTCCTATGTTTTTCCACGTTAACCAAGGATAGAATGAAATGTCCTCTTTCCATCATCTTGCCCTTGGAAGGGGTTTATATTTGCTCCCCTACTCCACATATGTCAACAACAGTACCTTGTAGGGGCATGCCTAGTACATTAGTACACATTTTGGCATAGTAGCACAATTATATGCTTATTTCTTCATGTATCCACAAGAAAATAAAAAACTGCACTCCGTATTAGCTAAAGCTTCAAATATTCAAGATTACTTCACATATTCCCCTATTTTTCAGTAAACCAGACCATGAGGTTAGATCCGATATATGTCAATCTCTCATAAATCTGCCTTAGTGTTTTGGTGTGTGTGTAATTGCATGTTTAAAGCAGTTATTCTGTAAGTAGATAGGCATGTGCAATTGCATGGATTGTATCCATTGAAAATTGATTGGGGTAATGGATATTTCTCCACTAATTTCTTCTTTATGTCATGTATTTTAGGGTAGTTACAGAAGCAAAAATTCCATAAGAACCCATGGGGCAGAAAACCACAGGCATTTACTCTATGCATGCTGGGCTTCATGGAGAGCGTGGTATAAGTACCAGCCTTTGGATCTTGTACGGTAAAACCTTTTTAAAAAAATCTTAAATTTATATTGTTTGGCATGTGTGAATACTTAAAATCTGTACAGGAAGAAGCAAAAAATGTTACATATGAACAACAAATATATCTACAGGGGTAGTCTGAGCCTTTTGCGGGGAGTTGGTGGTTGCTTTTCCCCAGTGAACTCATGACATATATACATTACAGTAGGTCTGCCCTACCTTTTGGAGATTGGATCCACTCATGGTACAGTAAAAAAAATGTGAATGATCACACCTCATATTTGTAAATAGCAGTGATGTGAACATGCATGCTTCAGTGTGTCATGACCATGGGATGCAATGATCTGTGGCATCAGTGGTTTCTTGCGTGTGTGTTCAGATGACAGGACAAATTGTGGGCTGTTGTGTGTTTTCTGGACTGTATGACCATGTTCCAGAAGCATTGTTTCCTGACGTTTTGCCTGCATCTATGGCAGGCATCCTCAGAGGTTGTGAGGTCTGTTGGAAACTAGAAAAATTGGTTTTATATATCTGTGGAAAGTCCAGGGTGGGAGAAAGAACTCTTGTCTGTTTGAGGTAGGTGTGAATGTAGCAATTGGCCTCTTGATTAGCATTTAATTGCCTAGCAGTTTTCAAGGTCTGGCTTCTTAAAGACAAAGACCATCCCCCTCCTCCCCAGGAAAAGTGTTCCCACAATACATCAAAGGAACCACTGACCGCATAGGGAAGCTGATGAAGAAACACAACATACAAACTATCTACAGACCCACTAAGAAAATCCAACAAATGCTACATTCAGCAAAGCACAAGAGGCATCCTCTCACCTCTGCAGGAGTCTACTCTGCACCATACAGCTGTGGACAAGTCTACATAGGGACCAGGGGCGGCTCAACCCATTACGCACAGTAAGCATTTGCAGTATAGTTGATTTTGCCCAGGGGCGCTCTTGAGGCGCTCTTGGGGGAAAATAGACCTTGACATATGCGAGTTGTAGTTACTGGGATGTATAGTTCACCTACAATCAAAGAGCATTCTGAACTCTACCAATGATGGAATTGAACCAAATATGGCACACAGAACTCCCATGACAAACAGAATATATATATCAGTGACTGGTTGTGGGCGGGATACTGTTTGCTTATCGTTGAAAATTACCTAGTGCCGCCTCTGATAGGGACTGCCAAACACAGCATCGCCCAGACACGAATCAAAGAACACGAAAGGCACTGCAGACTAATTCCACCAGAGAAGTCAGCCATAGCAGAGCACCTGATGAACCAACCTGGACACAGAATATTATCTGAAAACAGAGAAATGCTGGATCACTCTAACAACTACTATGTCACACTATACAGAGAAGCCATTGAAATCCAAAAGCATGTGGACAATTTCAACAGAAAGGAAGAAACAATGAAAATGAACAAAACTCTAAAATCATAACAGTAAATTAAGAACAACATTCAAAAACAGGGAATTCCAGACAAGAAATAATCAGGGCCAACTAATCACCTTCCAACAAAAATTTCCCCCAGGCAGTAAGAAGCCAGACCTTGAAAACTTCTAGGTCATTAAATGCTAATCAAGGTAGCCAATTGAAACATTGACATCTACTGTACCTAAAACAGACAAGAGTTCTTTCTCTCACCCTGGACATTCCACAGATATATAAACCCAATTTTCCTAGTTTCCAATAGACCTCACAAGGTCTGAAGATGCCTGCCATAGATGCAGGTGAAATGTCAGGAGAGAATGCTTCTTGCCAGGAAAACAACCCAGTGATTCTGGCCATGAAAGCCTTCGACAATACAAAGACAAGCTGTGATTATAAAGTTTAGACTTCAAAATATAGGCAACCTTGGAGTTAGTTATGTCATTAATAATACCACATGCTATCTCAGGTGATCTATCAGAACATAATGGTATCTCCAGCAATGTTCTTCTGCTAAGTGTTATACTTTTTCTATAGTTACAGCTAATTAGATTTCTGGCAATGGTAAATCTCGCATTGGCACCCCTGGATGGCATCTTGCCTACATAAGGACTGCAGTATGAAGTCACAGGTCTCAGTATAATATTCTTATGTTTAAAAATAATGGCTTTCATCCGAATCCTAAAGTTTGATATGCCAGCATAGAAGTGCTGAGAACAAAGCATGCCAAAGTCTCCCTTTCAGACTTTCATCACCAAAGGTGACATTGCATCTGCATTGCGGAAGATAAACCACCGCCAGGAGTTTAGAGTGGACAGTAGTTGAAAACACTTCTATGCTGTTAAAAGGTGTTTAAAAGTCTGCTAACAATGCAATGTAGTATTCATGGGTTGTTGTGAGTTTTCTGGGCTGTATGGCCATGTTCCAGAAGCATTCTCTCCTGACGTTTTGCCGGCATCTATGGCAGACATCCTCAGAGGTTTTGAGGTCTGTTGGAAACTAACCTCTGAGGATGCCTGCCATAGATGCAGGTGATACATCAGAAAGAATGCTTCTGGAACATGGCCATACAGCCCAAAAAACTCACAATAACCCAGTGATTCCAGCCATGAAAGCCTTCAACAATACATAGTATTCATGCCTTTTCTAACTCATGTAGCAACTGGCAGGTGATCTGTTTTTCTGTGTATTTGTTTTTGTTTCTTACTAAAAAGATTTGCCAATGTTTCCAAGGGAACATTAGACCGTTTTTAAAAAATGCATTTCTTTTGAAGTACATGAAGTATTGTATTGGATTTATTTTTTTAAGAAGGAACATTGAAAGGAGTCTGGTTAGTTTGCAGTATATGTCTGGAAGCAAAGCTGATATCATATCTGGAATACTTCGTCCACTGTAAGAGTCCCAGGCTCTATCTAAGTGTTCTACTACTTACTACAACCTGCCTTTGTCTTTCCTTTTAAAGCATTTCTAGTCTAGCATTTCAAACAATATAGACAGCTGTAGCTGTCAGTGTGGTGTGATAGTTTGAGTGTTAGACTGCAATTTCAGAGACAATTCCTATTTGAACCAATCTTACCAAGAAAATCACATAAGGTTGCCTCCAATGGCACAGTGAGTTAAACCACTGAGCTGCTGAACTTACTGACCGAAAGTCACCAGTTCAAAATCTGGGGAGCAGGATGAGCCCCAGATTCTGCCAACCTTGCAGTTTAAAAAACATGCAAATAGGAGTAGATCAATAGGTACTGCTAAGAAAACTAATTGGAAATTATTTGATGAATATATGACTGAACACGAAAATAAGTCCAATCACAGGAGGGTTGAGTCGGATGGAAACTAGAAAAGAAATAGACTATTTAAAGAAAGAAGAATAACAACATAGAATTTGAAGAGGTGAGAAGCCAGAAGTATAGGAAAATTTGCTGACAAGCAAACTATATTTGAAGGAGATTGGGGAGTCAACAACAATCCCCATTCCTTAACCTAACCCCCTTCCCACTGTTTCAATTGGCTACCTTGATTGGCATTTAATGGCCTAGCAGTTTTCAAGTCTGGCTTCTTACTGCCTGGTTGACCCTGATTATTTCTTGTCTGGAATTCCCCTGTTTTTGAATGTTGTTCTTAATTTACCTTATTGTACCTTCACCTTTTCCTGATAGACATCCTCCCTCTTCCCTTTTCCCTTTTAGATACTCCCTTTCCCCCTTTCCCTGATCTATCCTTCCCTTCCAATCCAATGCCATATTTTATGTTGTAGAAATAGAAAGGCTTTCAATAAAAATTTATTTAAAAAAAATAGGTACCGCTCTGGTGGAAAAGTAATGGCAGTCATGCCGGTCACATGACCTTGGAGGCATCTACAGACAATGCCAGCTCTTCGGCTTAGAAATGGAGATGAGCCGGACACAATTAGACTTAATGTCAAGGGGAAACCTTTACCTTTCCTAGGGTTGCCTTAGAGTTACAATCAGTTGGAAATCAGTGAAGGCACACAGCAAGTTATCAATTTAATTTCTCACAATGCCCTGGAATTTAAGTCAGGGAATTAAAATGACAGCTAGATCCAAAAGCCTGGACTGTTCAGAGCACCATTTGGGCTGTTGTCAAGGAAGATTGTTAGGGACTTCAGATGGTTAGGGCTTCTTTAAACCTGGAGCTAGTCCTAAATGGAAAACACATTGAAATATGACATGATCTTACTTTCTATATCAGCTTTTAAATTCAAGCCCGTGACCTGTTGGTCTTCAGTCATGCCGGCACAAAGTTTTAACCCACCGAATCCGGAGAGAGGACAGATGAGCTCCCTCTGTCAGCTCCAGCACCCCATTTGGGGACATGAGAGAAGCCTCCCACAAGGATGGTAAAAACATCAAAACATCTGGGCATCCCCTGGGCAACATTCTTGCAGACTGCCAATTCTCTCACTCCAGAAGCGATTTGCAGTTTCTCAAGTTGCTTCTGTCACAATAAAAAAAGCTTTAAATTTCCATTTATTTTCATTTAGTTGTAGTCTAAAGGTTCATTTACACATATTCTATAAATAGAACAAGGATCCTCCTGGATTAAATTGAATGCAGTAATGAGACAATGGTGGATATACCTACAATTTCCCAAATGCATCATAGCACACTTAGGGATAGGTGACTGAAATTTTAGGGGTTTTTCATGTTTGTGAACAGATATTGGTTTGTGACACTGATTATTCTTTAAGCTTCTACAGCACTCCATCTCTTCATTTTACATTTCTTCAGGTTTTTCTTGTGTCAGGATATTATTATTTCTATGTATATGAATATTGATATATATTCTTTATTTTTCCTGCTTTAATCTAAAACAGACTAAGGAATTTAATACTATTACTGACTATATTTTACCCTGAATATTGTAATTTTCTATCACATCAACATCAATTGACATCCGTACAGTTGATCTAGATCAGGCATGGGCAAACTTGGACCCTCCCTCCAGGTGTTTTGGACTTCAACTCCCACAATTTCTAACAGCCTCAAGCCCCTTTCTTTTCCCCCTCAACCGCTTAAGCGGAAAGGGCCTGGGGCTTTTAGGAATTGTGGGAGTTGTGTAGTTGTAACTGACCAGCAGAATTTTAGTCTATATGTTTTCAGTTCATGTTTATCTAGGAAGTAGCTGTTCCTTCTTCCCACCCTTTTGCTGAAATCATCCAGGCTGAACAGTGAACACAAAAACCACAAATATTCTTCAGAGTTCATATATCTGTGACTTCCATTAGCTGCTAGGGAGAGATAATGTGTGATACCCATTAGTCGGTCTATTACATCATAGGTTTTCTTCAGAAATATCAAGGAGTGAGTGTGCCAAGGCAGCTAAACTGCCCTGTCATTTTATTGCTAGTGAAGTTTACCAGATCACACTAAAGTCATGTTTCTAGAGCACTCAGAAAGCTTGTTCAATTATGTTTTCTCTAGCAATAAAATCTGAGTATTAAATCTCTAGTGTCATCAGTTTGGCACAGTCAAGAGTAATTAATTTCAATTTAATTACACCAGCTAGCCACTACATTTGCCAGAAAAAATAATGAAACAAAGTATATAAATGGAATCACATAGTTCTCCATGTACGTGCCCTTCAAGTACTGAAGCTGGGAGATGGAGTAACAGATATGTGAAAGGTTCTGGTTGATCTCTTCTCAGCCTGTCTAGTTTACACATTACAGTAAGCACAACTCAAAAAGCATTCAGAGATGTAAGTAGAAAACCAAACATACCTTGCAGCTGGTTAACTTTATACATTTTAAGCTGCCTAATGTATGCATGCTATTATCTGCTTCTACAAGTTATCTAAGGGCCATTAAGGGTATTCATACTTTTATGGACAGTTGCTTGCCAGTTGGCAGTAGAATCAACTTAGCAATTAAGAGACGTGCAAGATAGCCAACCCTTGTTGGTATTTTATTTAGTTCTTCCCTATTGACATCAAACCAGAAAAGATGAATCAGGTTGTTAAGAATTCTGCTGACCAGACAAGGTGATAGTTATCAAGTGATAACATTTTCAGTTTCTGAGTTTGCAAAGATGCTGTATCGTGGACGCCAATGCTAGGTACACAACAGTTGTTCTGTTAAATTGTATGGCCATGGTCAGGATAATATTTGTCTGCCTGTTTGATTGTTTATGTATTTATTATGATATTTTTATTTTAAATTATTTTTATTAAATTGTATTTACTTATTTCAAAACATTTTACACACTACAGCTGTCTTGTTACATCATCTATTCCCTGCTCTATGCATGCTCCCCTTCAACATCATTCATATAAAAGGTAAAGTTTTCCCCTTGACATTAAGTCTAGTAGTGTCCAACTCGGCGGGGTAGTGCTCATCTCCATTTCAAAGCCAAAGAGCCAGCATTGTCCATAGATACTTCCAAGGTCATGTGACCAGCATGACTGCATGGAACGCCGTTAGCTTCCTGCCGAAGCGGTACTTATTGATCTACTCACACTTGCATGTTTTCAAACTGCTAGGTTGGCAGAAGCTGGGGCTAACAGCGGGAGCTCACCCCACTCCCTGGACTCGAACTGGCGACCTTTCAGTCAGCAAGTTCAGTAGCTCAGCAGTTTAACCCACTGTACCACTGGGGGCTCCATAGCATTATAAAAACGCAGCTCTGTCTGTTCTATTATTTTTACTTATTTTAATTTCATCATTCGCATATAATTATTATAAAATATTTACTAATTATTTGTCCACAATCTTTCTTGGTCATTTGGTAGTTTGAATTCGCCATTGGTGATTTTACACATGAAGCTAAGAAATGGCTTTCGTATTTTATTTCTCCTTTTGCTAATAGTAATGTATAGGTTAACTTTTCTGATAAGGTTATAACCAGTCTCTTGTTTAGCCAATTCTTTATTGATAAATTCTCTTAGTTTTTTCCAGATTCTGACTATTTTGAGTCTTGCACTAATGCTTCCTGATGAGAACTAACACTAGCCAAAACACATTTTGGTGCCTCAAAGGTTAGACCAGTTTCTAAATGTATGTCCTCACTGCAAAAGACCTTGCAAATCCAGAGTAGTTATCTACAATCACTTATAGACCCACCACCAAGAATCTAGCCTTCAAAGACAATTATACTCGACCATGAGACTTGTTTCTGGGTATATGTGACCTGCTGATTCCAAAAATAGCACCAGCTTTCCCCTAACTACTCTAGTTTTGGAGATACAGAACACATGCCATCCGCTCACCCCCAGAAAAACATGATAACCATATCTAAGAATTGAGAGCTGATGTGGTCTATCTGATGCAATTTTCTGTATCAGCAAGCCAAGTGACCCCAGGAACAGGCCTAAAAACCAAGACACCAAGAATTGTGTGTGTGTTGGACTGTGAATCCTTCCAGGACCCACTTTTATTGGTGTCAAGAGTGACTTGAGAACTGCAAGTTGCTTCTGGTGTGAGAGAATTGGCCTTCTGCAAGGATGGTTTTTGATGTTTTTACCATCCTTGTGGGAGGCTTCTCTCTTGTCCCTGCATAGAATTGGAGCTGACGGAGGGAGCTCATCCACGCTCTCCCCAGGTTGGATTTGAACTGGCAAGCTTCAAGTCAACAACTCAACCTTCAAGTCATCAATCCTGCCAGCACAAGGGTTTAACCTACTGTACCACCAGGGAACCCACTGATGGAAGTGGGAAGGCAGCCCTAGACAGCAATTTGTCATTCTCCCTCAAACCTCAAGGCAGTCATGTATGGACTTATATTATCAATGTTATTATGCAAATCAATCCTGAACAATTATGTGTGTGTCAGGCTGCTATCTGATCACACTGGTAGGAAAGTTGCCAAAGCAGCCCTCAAAGCAGGGCCTCAGAAGAAGTGAAGATGATTGCACAAAGTTCATTCTGACATTATTGATCATTCTTTTAACTTTGAGTGGCTGGAGAACACTTCTGTATCACTCAATGGTAATATCCAAAGAACATTTCTGACAGGCACAGAATAATGTAGACACTGTACTATTGATCTGATTGTGTATGATACAGTCCGTAGCAAAGTCTAAATAACTTCCTCTGTCAATAGTGACACCTATTTCAGAAATAAATGATAATGGGATATGGATGGTGCCATTTAACTTCATCAATGCTTACATAGTCTATAAAACAACTGCCAGCCATGCTCTTTTAAAGATTAATAAGTTTAATATTAAAGGCCACTGTTAAATTACATTATTGAATGCTAAAATAATATTTATAAATGAAGAGTCATTAGATCCATCTGCTTTTGGACTTCAGGCTTGCATCATTTTGGGTCTTAGAATCATTGAACAGGCATTGCTTTTTTGCAGGTTCAGATCTGGGTAATGATAATAGAAGAAGAGAAAGCAGATTTGTTGAATGCATTTTGGCAGTGATAGAAGAGGCAGTAACATAAAGAAAACTTAATGCATAGCTTCTACTTTGCCTCTCTGTGTTAAATTATAGACTTGGATTCAAGTAGGCCATGTAAATACTTGCTGTAAATCTCACAGGCTTTACATTTTCCTTCTCATTGGATGAGACACAGATTGCTATTCTGTGGGTGTCAGCCAAACAATTAGGACAGTAGGGTTTTTTTGTCCACAAAGAAAACACAAAGATCTATAGCCATTGCCAGTGTGACTTTACACTGCCAAGTCTGCTGTCCTTGTTACAAAGGGCCACATTATCATTATATATCTAGTTGTTTACCTGGAAGATTCCTGGAACCTTTTCAGTATCAAAAGAATAATAACAACTTGACTGCCTTTGGCATTTGGCGTAACATAGCAAAGGCAAACTGGAAGGAAGGCAATTACAATGAGCTAACCTTTGCCACATACGCTGTGAAATTAGTGCACGCAAATAGCCTTGGCTGGGCCAAAGAACAACAAATTACTCATCTATTCAAAGCTAAATGTTGACCTTATTTATACAATAGTGAAATTGCTATCTTTCTGATGAAGACTATATGTGAGGAGAAAGCCTGAATGCTTGAAGGAGAGAGATGATGTGTATTTCAATGCATTTCAGTACATTTTGCACATGAGATTTCTATATTAAAATGTATTATTTATATTAACCATGATGAGATCTATGGAATCCCTGGTTCTCTGACAGCACAATCAGCAACAATTTTTCTTTTTGTGTCAGGAGCAACTTGAGAAATTGCAAGTTGCTTCTGGTGTGAGAGAATTGGCCGTCTGCAAGGATGTTGCCAAGGAGAGGCCCAGATGTTTTACCATCCTGTAGGAGGCTTCTCTCATGTCCCTGAGTAATGGATTTAATCCTTGTGCCGGCAGGACTGAAGACCATCAGGTCAGAGGGAGAGCGTGGATGAGCTCCCTCTGTCAGCTCCAGCTCCCCATGCGGGGACATGAGAGAAGCCTTCCACAAGGATGGTAAAACATCAAAGCATACAGATGTCCCCTGGGCAATATCCTCACAGATGGCCAATTCTCTCACACCAGAAACAACTTGCAGTTTCTTAAGTTGTTCCTAACACAAACACACACGTACACACACAAAAATGAGAAACTGGAGCTGACACCCTTGTGCATCGCACCACTGGGGGCTCCTAATATAAAGCAACCAAATGACTTTATATTAATCATGTGAACTCATCTTCTATTCAGAGAACTTCTCAATGATACTGCAAGGGATATTTAAAATGGAAGAAGCTGTGTAGTATTCAGTTATGTATTCAATATTGTTGGATTCCCTGCCACCATACAGAGTCTATGGTATTTTTTTTTCGACAAAACCTTGAATGAAATAAATGAACAATATGTAAGATTCTATGTGTATGAAGAACGAATAGTTCAGTATGCAGCAGGTCCCCTACCATTCATTATGGCATTGGAATCCCAACTTTGTATTTGTATTTATAATTAGACAAATTGAGTATTTATTTGTAGAATGCAAATATAACATCCTTATTTTATTTCCACATAGTCAAGGAACATCCTTTTTATATTAAGAGCCAATTCTATATAACATTTTTAAAATCTTTCCTTACATTGTGTTTTAACAGGCGGTATTTTGGTGAGAAAATTGGCTTGTACTTTGCCTGGTTAGGCTGGTACACAGGAATGCTCTTCCCAGCTGCCTTCATTGGACTGTTCGTCTTTTTGTATGGAGTAGCCACATTGAACCACTGCCAAGTCAGGTGAAGTAAAAATAAAACATCGGTATCGATCGACCGATCTTTCATTAACTTGTGAGAACATGATGTATATATTTTTCTGGTTCTTGCTAAAGTCAGTGTATTAATTTATGGACTTTGATGTTGAGTGCCTTGTTTTCTTTTTGTTTGTTTTGTTTACTGTAATACATTGTGCCATGTCTTTGGGGCACACAAAACTGTAAGAAATGTTTTGTAAATTGGTAAATAGAAGAGACACTGCTACTAACATAGTCATTCTAAAACCTGATGTCCTCCTTACCAAACAAACCTCTGATATTTCTTTGTACGTGTTATTTTCCCCAAACACCTTTACTTACCCAAGGTTCATGTTCCTGGCTCTTTTTCCATCTCTTTCTGTCTTTTCTCTCCTTCTTCTGTTTTGGCCTTGGATGCAATACAATATACTGTAGAAAGCTTGTTCATAAAGATTTATTTTAGCACTATACCCTGTGTGCAAGCTTATCTCTCCCTTTCTGAAGCATCAGTTTCTGAACAGCATGTGTGAAACAGGCATTGTCTCATCCTGGATGTAGTTCAGTATAATAGACTTACATGTTTCTTCATACATCCTGGACAATAAATCTGTCGAGGATCATTATAAGCTCTTGGCAATTGACAATGCACTTGTTTACAGACATCCAGAGCATCTCACAACCTATTTTAACATGGGGCAAGGTGCGTTAAGGTGGGCGGACATTGTGCATTGTGAGGATGCCACAGAGTCCATTCACCCTGAAACAAATTAATATGGCCCATGTAGAAGGGCTGGCAGGTTGTCTTCACTGCATTGCACAAAGCTGGCCTGATATCTTAATAAGATCTGCATAGCCCAGATCTTAATAAGAACTGGAACCAGTCTTGCCCCCAATTATCTGGTTTTAGTGGTGACCACTAAGCATGAAAATGGTGGTGGTTGTTTTGAGAACATAGTGACAATAGTTGGAGTAATAGCTCGACATGAGGTGGTGCGGGAATAGGAATCATGTCCTCCTTTCCCCTTTTCCTTCTCCAAGTAGTTCATTACTCCAGCTATTGTCAATACCGGTGCCATGTGACCACCATTCCCATCTTTATGTCCAGCATTCACTGCTATGGTCAGGTTGACAGTTGTAAGGTAAATGCCACCCAGGGTGCCTGAGCACCAGGAAAGATGGATAGCTGTGTGAACAGCTGTGTTTGCTTCCAAATAGGAAGCAACCCAACTGTCTACACTGGCCCAAAACATAAGTGAACTCTAGAGCTTTGGGGAAGCATCACATTACTTTTAAAAATTCAGGACAAAGCTGCATCAATGCGAATGGACCCTATGCATCATGTGGACATCAGGAATCCATTCATCCCCAAATCAACTCATATGGCCCATGTAGAAAGGGTGTGTATTGCACAGATATCTATGGCAACAACCAACAAAACAACAATGTATGTGTGTGACTCGCAAAACTCTCCCTCAGAATAGATTACTTCATGCTGAATTACTATGTCAAAAAGACTTCAAAATTTACAGTAGTAAAAGTATAATTCTCATATTATAATTCAACTAAGGATATACTGTTCACAAATAAGTAACAGACATAAAGAAAAGCATATAGAAACAACCAGTCTTAATAAGTTCTGAAGCTGTGAAAGGTCTTGAGTCCAATACCAGTGGTAGTAAAAAAAAAATCCAGCTTCCAAAATAACGACTTCTATATTAAGAGATTCTTCATTAACTCATAACGCCAGGAACAGCAACACAACAAAGTCTCATGTGTTGTTCCCCTTATTTCGTTACACCTTCTTCGGGTGTTATGTCAATCATATCTATAATGCTTGAGTACACTAAATAACAAAATGAAGCAACATACAGACAATAGATATACTAAAATCCCCAAATTAACATTGTTTTGAAAAAGGTTTTTGATACACATGCTTGTCTACTTACATTCCTGACTCTGTTGTGAATGCCTGTCCTTATCTATAATGCTTGCATACTCTAGATAAGAAATAAAGCAACGTACAGACAGTAGAATATATTAAAATCCCCAAATTACCAATGTTTACAAGGAGTTTTTATACCCACACTTGTCTACTTACAAAACAGAGCTTGTGTAAGTTTCTATATGCTTTTCTTTATGTCTGTTACTTATTTAGTGAATAATATATCTTTAGTTTAATTATAATATGAGAATTGTACTTTTACTACTGTGAATTTTGAAGTCTTTTTCAAAATACACCATGTAGAAAGGCCCTGAGAGACCAGGTTTTTAATCCCTGCTCGGCTACGGGAACTCACTAGATGATTCTGTGCAAGTCATACTCTTATTCAGAGGAAGGCAATGCCAAATTCCCACTGAACAAATCCTGCAAGAAAACTCTATGATAGATTTGACATAGGGTTGCCATAAGTAAGAAAAATGAAATTACATAACAAAAAATAACAAATCTTAACCTCATGAATAAATGTGGTTAAAGAAGGAAGAATAATTAAACATTAAGCTTATATGTGAGTATGTGAAGTTGTATTGGCCAGATCTTTCCTTTTTTTCCCTTGTGTAGTACCATTGACCTTTGTCTACTTCTCTTCCCTTCTGCCTCTATGGTTCCACATCCTCTACATATCTGTCTCTCCTCTTGGTGCCCCCACTGCCATGTGTGTGCATGTGTGCCTCCACCTTCGTGGAGAACTTAGGAAGGAACCTATCATAAAATTATTGTACATATTTCAGATTGATACTCTGAATGATTTGGGCTACTCTTTTAAAGTCTCAGTTCTAAAACATGGAGCAAAGTTCTTCCAGAAAATCCACTAAATTATCATCTCTTGTCTACTTAATAGTATAACATATATTATGTGTCCACCAGGCATAATAGGGTTCCCATACTTGTCTGATTTGAAATATTTTCTTCTGCATGCATTTTTATAAGTCCCAGTTTCCTCGTTGTGTCAAATCTATAGTTTGGCTACTATTTCCCTTGGTTACTGATCTGCCAGGTTCAATCTCCTGGGACATCATGTTCTGCTGCCTGGCACTTCCAAAATTGTCCATATTTTCACTGGCACACCATTGAAAGTTAAGTGCTGCGAATGTGCCAAATACAGATAGAATAGTGACATAAACCAACTCATAGAGATTCTTACTAAAGGGATTTGTAGCACTGATGCTTCCATAAGCTCATAATCTCCTTCATAAGTAGAGCCCCCATCGTATAGAGCTGTGTGTTTGGCACAGAAGGGAGTGGTGAGTCCTAGATTTTATTGCAAATTTACTTGATTAATTTTTGATACATTGGCGTATGGTGTCTAGAGTGCATGTATTCTCATGTATTCCTCTAGATCAGTGTTTCTCAGCCTTCCCAATGCTGTGACCCTTTAATACAGTCCCTCTTGTTGTGGTGACCCCCAACCATAACATTATTTTCGTTTCTACTTCATAACTGTAATTTTGCTACTGTTATGAATTGGAATGTAAATATCTGATATGCAGGGTGTATTTTCATTCACTGGACAAAATTTGGCACAAATACCCAATACGCCCAAATTTCAATACTGTTGGGGTTGGAGGGGGATTGATTTTGTCATTTGGGAGTTGTAGTTGCTGGGATTTATCGTTCACCTACTATAAAGAGCATTCTGAACTCCAACAATGATGGAATTGAACCAGATTTCACACACAGAACTCCCATGACCAACAGAAAATACTGGAAGGGTTTGGTGGGCATTGGCCTTCAGTTTTGGAGTTGTAGTTCACCTACATCCAGAGAGCACTGTGGACTCAAATAATGATGGATCTGGACCAATCTTGGCATGAATTCTCAGTATGCCCAAATGTGAACACTGGTGGAGACTGGGGAAAATAGACCTTAACATTTGGCAGTTGTAGTTGCTGGGATTTATAGTTCACCTACAATCAAAGAGTACTCTGAACCACACCAATGATAGAATTGGGCCAAACTTCCCACACAAAACCCCCATGACCAACAGAAAACACTGTGTTTTCTGATGGTCTTTGGTGACCCCTCTGACACCCTCTCATGATCCCCCCATGGGTCCCGACCGCTAGGTTGAGAAACATTGCTCTAGACTTTCCGTGTCGGCTTCTGCAGTTCTTCTTTTCGGTAGGGATTGCCATTTGCAGTTTAGAGTATCTACGCAATATCCAGGAATGGGGATTTCCATAAACATCTTCAATTATATGTAAAGATATCTTACATCTGTGTAACTTGTATGTGCCTACAGATCAGCAACTGTGTTGCATGTATACAGATTGCATGCATGTTGACTATTACATGTTTAATAACCATTTAATGCACATGCAGATGCAAATCAGTTCTGAGCCTAAAGTACTTTTGCTATTTTAGTCAACAAGAAAAAAATGAGGGGTTTTTTTGCTGAATACACTGTTATCAAAATTATGAAAGCTCTTTGAAGTATGCTTGTTATAATGTAAGCTATTAATCATTATCCCTTTTCTTTTTTTAGTAAAGAAGTCTGCCAAGCTAGAGAAATTATAATGTGTCCTATCTGTGATAAATATTGCCCCTTCATGAGACTGTCAGATAGCTGTATTTATGCCAAGGTAAAAATAAAATAATGCTTTTGTGCTCCCGCAATGTTTTTCATATATATTAAATGTCATGAAAAAGTGTTCAGCTTAAAAAAAAAGTCCATATGCATAAGCCTGCAAATGAGTGCAGCTTCTTCAAGTGGATTGAATCTATCAAAAAATTTAAAGTATTCATGAAAGTAAGTCAAATAACCCATAGTAGTAAAAATTGTATTTTGTATATATTGCGGTATTTGTATATCACCCTTCTCAATCCCGAAGGGACTCAGGGTGTTTCATGGTGTTGGCAACAATTCAATGTCATTGATATTAAAAAAAAGTATAAAAATCAAAATTGGCCCTCCCCTGATAAAATATTAAACATTATTAACACATCATATAATATAATATAACATCACATATCACATAACCGTGGGTATATATGTATTCTGGTATATATGTAATAGATCTTGTTAATAGGTTAGTAGAGAGAAGAACAAGTAGAGACAGAGTGCCATAGAAACAGAATGCCACCATGCGATCTTGAGCAAACATGATTTCATTTGATTTCAGAAGCTGAGCAGGCTTAGGTCTGCTTGATACTTTAATGCAGTGGTTCTCGACCTGTGGGTCCCCAGATGTTTTGGCCTTCAACTCCAAGAAATCCTAACATCTAGTAAACTGGCTGGGATTTCTGGGAGAACCACTGGTGTAGAAGTTAAATACTGGACTAGGATCTGAAAGTTCTGGGTTCTAGTTTCTCTAATACATGAAGCTCACTTGATATTCTTAGTTCTTTGTCTCTTTCTCTCTCTCTTTCAGTCTGATTTTCAGTCCGATTTATCTCATGGGAGAGCAGGGATGGCCATTTACAGTCCCAAAGTTTATTGTGGCAAAGGCAGGATATAAAATTATAAACTTCATCCATGGAGACCCAAGCTGCCCATCAGACAATGTAGGGCAGTGATTCTCAACCTGTGGGTCCACAGATGTTTTGGCCTACAACTCCCAGAAATCGCAACCAGTTTACCAGCTGTTAGGATTTCTGGGAGTTGAAGGCCAAAACATCTAGGGACCCACAGGTTGAGAACCACTGATGTAGGGTGACTTTTGGTAGGGTGCCATGGGTAAACTGGGGTGGTAGCATGGAAGAACACTGCTGCTGTCAACACAGAAGCCTCCCCATGTTCCATAAAGAACAACAGGGTTTCCGTGCGTGTCAGCTGTTTTGTGTGTGATGGGGAGGTGTTAGCTGCCATCTGGGGTTCCAGGATTGCCCCACTTCTGCCTTGATGATGCTCAGATACACCATGGAGGGTGGTGAATCACTATGCTGAACCTCATCCATGTGATTAGGTCCATAGTAACTCTACAACCAACATTAGGAGGGTGTAGAACAGTGGTTCTCAGAGTGTGGTCCCCAGATATTTTGGCCTTCAACTCCCAGAAATCCTAACAGCTGGTAAGCTGGCTAGGATTTCTGGGAGTTGTAGGCCAAAACACCTGGGGACCCACATGTTGAGAACCACTGCTTTAATGGAAGATCATAAGGGTTTTCCAAGAAAGGCTATGGAAAAATCCTGCCTGAAAATTTGGAGAGCTCCTGCCACTACTGGGCTAGATAGACCATTAGTTTCATTAACTATCAAGGGGTTTACTATGATTCTTTGATATGAAGGAGAAATGTTAGAATCCAGAGCAAAATCATATTGTATTATTCCCCACAATAAAACCAGTCACTGTTAATGTTCAGATATATCTACCGCCTCCTGTTTTCTGTACTGCTCTACACTTTCCCTTGGTGATCTAGATTATGTAAATTATTGAAGCTTGGCCTTCTGTGAAACCTTTTGTAGCAATTTACATCCTAGCAAGTGTAACAACCATTAGGCTAGATCCAGCCTCTGTCTTCCATGGACTGCAATGTCCTGACACCACCCAATTTTCCTTCCATCCACTCCTGCCCCTTTGTATAGCATTTGTATCTGTTATGATGGGGATTGGAGAAGTCCTTTTCTGCGGCCTAATTGCATGGGTCTTAATTTGGATCCAACCCAATGGACTTCGAGATATGAAGAGGCTTGTGTACTTCTGCATGTGTATCTTTGAGACTTTTTTTTCACATGTTTTCAGTGTTGCTTCTCTGTCTATCAAGATATATTTTTTCCCCTTGGGATAATACCTTGGACACCTTTTAATGACTTAATATTCCCCTTTGCAAAAGCCTTTGTCAAAACATGTGTTTTCAGCAAGGCTTTTACAAAGGAGACTATTCCCCTAAGCTACCAACTACCTAACTTGTTGAAATAGTGGAGTGTAAGTAAAAATGTGCCAAAAGGTTTTTTGTGTTACTGATAACCTACATAGTGTGTGTACTCCTATCATTAAAACTAAGTACGTGTACTTCAGGAAGCTGAATCAGATTTCCTAATACAATGTAATAATAAAATCTTATTATTATGAAATAAGCTAAAACAGCTGACTATTTTTCCTAGGTGACACATCTTTTTGACAATGGAGCAACTGTCTTCTTTGCTGTTTTCATGGCAGTGTGGGGTAAGTCCTGCTTTAAAAATGGATCACATTCTTACCTTTTTATTTAATATGTCTGAGATGCATATAATGGTTTTGATTCTAACATCTAGTTTCACTATCATCAGGAGGCCAGTGAGAGATACCATTCCAAAATCATAAAAAAATAAGATTACCCAAATCTCACATGTGGTCCATCTTTTAGCACATGCAGCCTTTGTTACAGAACACTTGCTGTAGTTTTCAAAGTAGAATAACAGAATCATAAGAGTTGAAGAAAACCACAAGGGCCACCCAGTCCAACCCCCTGTCAATCAGGAACACACAATCAAAGTACTCCTGACAGATGGCCATCCAGCTTCTGCTTTAAACCTTCAGAGAAGGAGGCTCTGCCACAGTCCAAAGTGGCATATTCCACTACCATTTAGCTCTTACAATCAGGATGTTCTTCCTAATGTTTATTTTATTTTTATTATTCACTTCACAAAATACAAAGATACAGGAATACTATTGAATATTTATACCTCTGTATGGTCAAGCATATTTTTGCATTCCTCCAGCCTATTTATTTATTTATTTATTTATTTAAAACATTTATATTCCACCCTTCTCAGTCCATAGGGTACTCAGGGCGAAGCACAACATATATATGGCAGAAATTCAATGCCGAAACATGCAATAAATTATAAACATACATAAACATTAAAACCAGTCATCTCTAGTTTTAAAATCAACTGTTTAAGCCATCTCAAATTAACAGAGTAAAATTCTTATTTCTATCTTATTGCACTGTCCCAAAGGCTTGATCCCACAGCTATGTTTTTACCATCTTTCTGAAGGACAGGAGAGAGGGGGCTGATCTAATCTCACCAGGGAGGGAGTTCCAGAGCCGAGGAGCAATCACCGAGAAGGCCCTCTCTCTCATCCCCATCAATTGCACCTGAGATGGGACCAAGAGTAGGGCCCTCCCTGCCCAGTTGTGATTTGCTAATTCCATTTTTTCCAATCATTGATTTGTTTACTTACTTTTTTCCATAATTGATTATAGTTTATCTGGATTATATTATATAAGTTTTTAGGGATATAAACGCCTAGGTATTTTCACTTCTTTTCCTCCAGTTAAAAGACTGGGCTTCTTTTAACTCCTTTCAATTCGGGTTTTTGTGTAAATTTTCCAATTTTTCAGTATTAATGGCTAAGCCTGAAATCTTTTCAAATTTTAAAATTACTTTTGTTACTGCCTTTACAGAGTCTTCCATTGCGTGTATAAGGACTATGGCATCATCTGCATATAAATTAATGTTTATTTCTTCTTGATCTATCTTATAACCTCTTATATTTTTGTCTGATCTAATTAGGTTAGCTAAAGGTCCTATCGCTAGGGCAAAAAGTAGTGGAGAAAGAGGGCGACCTTGGTTGGTTCCACTTTTGATTTTAATTATTCTTGAATTAGATCCATTTACTATTCCGCTTGATTTTCTTTAATTACCCCAAACATATTTATTCCCAAATTACACTCCGCGCATAATTTGATTAAATAATTGTGATTTATCATGTCAAATGCTTTATAAACATCTAGTTTTATTAGGAGTAATTTTGCTTTCTCTCTTATTGCATGGTCAGTTACATTTAAAATATTTCTGATTGGGTCAGCAATCATTTTTTTTAATAAACCCATACTTATCTTCCTCAATTAAAGAGGGTGTTATCTCTTTCAAACTGTTTGCTATATTTTTTGTAAATATTTTATAATCCACATTACATAAAGTATTTGGTCTATACAAGTTAGACTCAATTTCCTCTTTGTTTGGTTTTTAAATTGTTATAATTTCTGATTTTTCCATGTCTCTGGAGTTATTTTATTTTCCATAATTTTGTTATAATTAAATTAGGGATTATTTCCTCTTGGAAAATTACCTGATGTTTAGATAGAATCTCTTTTCCTGCAGTTTGAGTTCATTGCTCCGTGCTCTAGTCTCCAGAGTTGCAAAAAACAAGCTTGCCATGTTAGTTTCTTGCAGCATCAAAAGAAAAAACAGAATGTGGCAGCACTTTTGAAACTAAGCAGTTCTTATGAACTTTCATGGATATAAACCTAATTCTGCAGATGCTGTACAGGGTGACATTAAAACCTCAGGTATAAAACATATTTTGACCGTTGTAGCAGTCAGATAAAATGCAATAGTATCCAGAAAGGTGCAAATAAAGGATTGGGTGAAGTAATACAGATCATCCTCACATCAGCACTAACTACTGCAAACAACCGAAAGAGCTGATTCACTGCACCTATCCCAGCTTCTGACTATCCTGTAACCCAAAACCTCAAAATGGGCCTCTCAAAATGAAATGTGTATATTGGATAACTGGTGAGCAAGGTTGCCTTTTTAAAGTGCTCACCTAGAAATCTTGGAATGCCTTTGTAGAATGTTTTATATTTCACAGTTTGACATCCAGTGACAATTCAAAGAGGAAAGTGTCAGGGAGCCAGCCCCCCTCCGTTCCTAATACAGTTTGTGATTTCAGTAATTTGTCTCTGAACATCTTTTTCACATCTATAGGTCAAATTACTAATAAAGATCTTTTTCATAAAACATGTACCCATCACATTCATGCAGTAGGCAGGCCATGATAACTGATTTCTTAAACCTAGTATTCAAATTAATAATAGATTGCCAGTGTTGGATTGTGGCCTTTAGTATATAGACTTGTGCAATTCGGCTGAAGGGCAATCCGTTTTTGGTATCCAAATTTCGTTGGGTACCCAGATCCATTTTTCGGGAGCCTCCCAAAAATCAGCTATTGGGAAAATCTGTTTTTGTCTTGGCAGCTGAAAGATCCGGAAAGATCTGGGCCATTGGTGGGAATGGGGAACTTACCAGGCTCCTCTTTCCGTTCCTGGGATCCTTTCCTTTCTTCAAGGGGGGCTGGGTTTGAGCAACAAGGTTAAGAAAGCACCCCTCCTGGGACCCTTTCCTATCTTACTTTCTAGGGACTCTGGGTTTGAAGAATGGGGTTAAGGAAGCACCCCTCCTGGAATCTTTTCTTATTTTCCTTTCAATGGAGTCTGGGTTTTAGCAATGTGGTTAAGGAAGCATGTGACATGTGCTCCCAAATAGAAAGGAAGAAGCCATGCCCGGTAGTCACATGGGCCGTTTCAGGCAAAAAAAACCAATGGAGGTTGAGCCCTTACCATTATGGCCATCCAAACAAGTCCAAACAAGTCAAACAAGCTGGATTGGCCAAAGAGAACCGACCAATGTGAATCCATGCACAATCCTAGTACTCAATCAGTTGTCAAGCTATAATGTTCAGAAACATTTTGGGTTTTTTTTCATGGAAATCCAGCAAATAATCATCTCTTCTGAGGAAATTATAAGACATTTACTGTCAGGATATCTGCTGAGATGAAAAGCTCTGCAGAATTTGTGCAAATAGTTGAATCTTTGTTAAAGCTATAATTTACTGTGGCAACATTTTTTTCAGAAGCAATGTGAGAGCTGTAAAATGCTTCTAGCTCCATGTTAGAGCATATGCTTTACACATAAAAGGTCCCCTGACATTTCCAATTAGTTTGGGGAAGGACTTCTGTCCCAAACCTTAGAGTGCCATTATCAGCCAGTGGCAACAATAACTAGCTAGATAGACTAATGGAGGTGAAAGCATCTTTCTATTTCACACATATTCTTTTTGTATAGTTCTAAAATGCAGGCTAAAATATTTCTGGAGAGAAGCCAAGACAGCATTTCTCTTTTTGTGTACATCTCTGATTAGATCTATAATTATATATTTGATTAGAAATCCTGTGGGATAATAATTTTGTTCATCTATAGAATCAAAGTGCACATTTTCAAGCTGGTAAAAGAATGCCTTTCCTTTATTTCATAGCTCTCTGCAGTTTAAAAAAGGAATTCCTTACATTAAACATTACGTTGACTCTTTCAGCTTTATTTATATTTCTGCCCAAGGGCACGGTTTCATAAATACTTGTTCTGCTTTCATCGAAAGACATGCTATTAAAAATATCTTTTTATGCAGTGCATGAAAATTCAACCTTGCAATGGTATTCAGCAATAATGAAATAATTAATCAGAGGGTTGTACGCTGATTAATGAAATCAGTTAGTTCAAATTACATGAAAGGGGGGATTGAGTAATTATTCAAATAATTTCCTATTGTTGGAGCCTTTTAACAATAGATCAGATTTACACTGTTTATTGAGCAGGTGCTGATTGCAGTTGTGGGCCATGGTCTAAGTGGGGGGACTCACCCTAAAATCACAGGACAACAACCACGCGCACACACACATGCACACACCAATTGCTTGTCCATGGTCAGATGGCTATTCATTGGAGATGCTGTGGGAGTGGGTAATTTGCATCAATAGAGCTGAGCTAGATGACATTTGAGATCCATATCAATTCTGCGCTTCTAGGATTGTACAAACTATTTTCTTTCCATAATTAATATTCTACATATTTTCCCTGTAGCAACTGTTTTCCTGGAGTTTTGGAAACGAAGGCGAGCAGTAATTGCTTATGACTGGGACTTGATAGACTGGGAAGAAGAAGAGGTTTGTATGAACATGTCACAGTTTCCTCAGCTATAGTAGAGAGAGGATCTAGTAGACATAGTTGCAAAATAGTACATCAGGTATGGCCGTGGGACGCACAGAGTTTGCTTCCCTTTCATTCTCTTTCCAGACTTTACTGGGCCAAAGCGTCTTACATTAGCTGAGTCTAGGCCTGGGTAACAACGCAAAAATTTGTTTCTAAAATCGATTTGTATTTGGGGGGTTTTTGCGTTTCGATATTTAAAATAATTACAAAATTTTCCTTTGAAAAAGTTCAGTATTTACGAAATTTCGTTAATTTCGTTAATTTCGTTTTTAGAATATTTTTTGAATTTTTTTGAAATATTTATTTATAAATATTTTTTGAAATATTTAAAAATGGAAAATTAACAATGCTTGCCCTGTTGTGGAGCGAACACAGCCACAGGACAGGGACAAACTCACACACACAGGCACACAAGGGTTTTTCTTTTTTTAGAATATTTTTTGAATTTTTTGAAGAATAAAAGAAAGATATTTTTCAGAAATATTTAAAAATGGAAAATTAACAATGCTTGCCCTGTTGTGGAGCGAACACAGCCACAGGACAGGGACAAACTCACACACACAGGCACACAAGGGTCTTTTCTTTTTTTAGAATATTTTTTGAATTTTTTGAAGAATAAAAGAAAGATATTTTTCAGAAATATTTAAAAATGGAAAATTAACAATGCTTGCCCTGTTGTGGAGCGAACACAGCCACAGGACAGGGACAAACTCACACACACAGGCACACAAGGGTCTTTTCTTTTTTTAGAATATTTTTTGAATTTTTTGAAGAATAAAAGAAAGATATTTTTCAGAAATATTTAAAAATGGAAAATTAACAATGCTTGCCCTGTTGTGGAGCGAACACAGCCACAGGACAGGGACAAACTCACACACACAGGCACACAAGGGTCTTTTCTTTTTTTAGAATATTTTTTGATTTTTTTGAAGAATAAAAGAAAGATATTTTTCAGAAATATTTAAAAATGGAAAATTAACAATGCTTGCCCTGTTGTGGAGCGAACACAGCCACAGGACAGGGACAAACTCACACACACAGGCACACAAGGGTCTTTTCTTTTTTAGAATATTTTTTGAATTTTTTGAAGAATAAAAGAAAGATATTTTTCAGAAATATTTAAAAATGGAAAATTAACAATGCTTGCCCTGTTGTGGAGCGAACACAGCCACAGGACAGGGACAAACTCACACACACAGGCACACAAGGGTCTTTTCTTTTTTTAGAATATTTTTTGAATTTTTTGAAGAATAAAAGAAAGATATTTTTCAGAAATATTTAAAAATGGAAAATTAACAATGCTTGCCCTGTTGTGGAGCGAACACAGCCACAGGACAGGGACAAACTCACACACACAGGCACACAAGGGTCTTTTCTTTTTTTAGAATATTTTTTGAATTTTTTAAGAATAAAAGAAAAAGATATTTTTCAGAAATATTTAAAAATGGAAAATTAACAAAATGCTTGCCCTACCCTGTTGTGGGGCGAAAACAGGGCAAAGCCTCCCCGCTGCTCCCAGCAATGAATGAATGAATGAATGCAAGCACAAGCAATGAATGAATGAATGCAAGCAAGCAGCCAAGAGCCAACCAAGCCTCCCTCCCGCACCTCCCGTCTCCTTCGCAATGAGCAATGCGGCCACGCGGAGCCGCTTTTAAAGGGCAGCCCGCCCAATCACAATGGGCCACGGTGCTTGGGAGCGCCGGATTGGCTCCCGGCGCACCCAGCATCCTCCATCCCTAAAACGTCATTTCCGAAACGGGCGGAAGCCCGTAAAAAAGATGGAGGATGCCGTTTCGATATTTAAAAACACTTCCGGGTTTGAAAATATGTTTTGTAATCGTTTTGTAATTGTTAAAAATAACGAATATTTAACGAATTACAAAATTAACGAACGAAACCGCCCAGGCCTAGCTGAGTCATCTTACATTCACAGCAAGTGAATGAAATCAGTTGAGCAATTTTTCTTAAAATAAAATCATTGACAGTAAACTTTGTGTTGTCTTTAACCCATTCTCATAGAGGTGGTAAGCTTTCATTTTGGTTTGTATGCAAAAACCCTGACCTGCTAAATCAGGAGAGAATTTCTGATCAAGTACTTGCCCCTTCTGTCTCGTTGCTCACATTTCCATCCTAGTCTGTAAATACCAGAGTTTCCTGTTGCAGTTAAAGGAGTAAATAAGAAGTGCAAACAGACAAATGGATTTAACTAGGGCCATATTTTATTTACGAAGGCCAACTACAGTCTGCAAAGGAAAGTGGAAAACCAGCATGGAAATTCCATTCTAAACAGATAGCAAAGCTTAAAGGTGTCTAAGTACACAAACTGGGTGAGTATAACCTCATTCAGAAAAATGGAACATCACAAGCATGCCTCCTCTCAAGGCTCCTATTAATGCTAATGTAGAGGCATTTCCCATCTCCCCCCACACTTGGAGCCTCACAATTCCAAACAGAGTAAGTAAGTCATCCTAAAGGTGTTTGAGACCCACTTACTTTCACAGGTCCCAAACTTACCTTCAGTCCTGGCTGCCTTTTGAGTACTTGTCAGCACTGAACTCTAAAATTTCCACAAGGAAATTTCAGGATTAAGCAGGAGATAAATATGGATTAACTCAATCAATTTGAACAATAGATCAAATCACTTGAGGCTACAGGACTCATTCATGTTGCACAATCATAGTGCTATTTCATTGTAACCACTATGGTTCCATCCTGTAGAATCTAAAGTTATTGTTTGATGAAGCGCTGAAGCACTCTGGGCTAAATATTATAAATCCCACCCCCAAAAAAATATGCCAAATCTAGAAATCCCTAGGATAGAACCATGACTATTATAGTGGAGTAACAACACTATAATTGTGTAGTCTTAATGCGACCCATATGAACCTTTTTTAAAAAAACCAACCTTGCTCAGCAAAATACTTCCTAATACTTCATATTACTACCTTCACTATAAAGTAAGTGTGTGTGTGTGTGTGTGTATAGTGAATGGACTATAAAGTTCATTCACACAAATGGATGAATGACAAAAAAAATCTTGCTCTGTCTCTAAGTGACCAGCAATGTGTGAATTAATGTGGTCCCAAAACAAATGATTGAGCAATTTAAAGTCATAAGACCCCACTTGGGAACAAGCATGCAACCTTCTAGTATAACATTGTCCCTCTCTTGTCCTTGTCAGTAGTGTTAATTTCTCAGTAAAGATTTTTAATTTTTGTGAACTTCTATACTGTTATACTAACAGATAAAACTAGATTTTGACTTGACAATCAGTGACTGGATAACTAAAGAACTGATAAAGCCAAATGACTTTTTATACAACTTTTTCTAATTCTACTTTATAATTAATTATGTATTCCCTAGGAAGAAATACGTCCTCAGTTTGAAGCCAAGTACTCCCAGAAAGAGAGAATGAATCCAATATCTGGAAAGCCGGAGCCTTATCAAGCATTTGCAGATAAATGCAGCAGAATTATTGTTTCTGCATCTGGAATATTTTTTATGGTTTGGAAATTCAAATTTCTTTTGAGCTGTCTGAAAACTGGCCATTTTTGTCTGTGTTGCCAAAACAGGGTTTTTTAGATTAATTTTGTAGTGGTGTTGTTAAGCTTTTCTTCAAATAACATGTGTTGAAATTTGACATCTTGGTTCTAGAAATAGCAACTTCACGAGGATATTTAACATATTCTTCCTGAAACACATGCACTGTAATTATAAAGATTTAGAATGAACTGACATAGTATTTTGTTTGCTTTTTAGATGTGCCAGTCAATCCTAAATCTATGCTTGTTCAGTACACTCTTAAGGGATTTAATATGCAAATAATTCTATCATGTAAAAATACTTTTGCAAAGAGAATGCTATTAAAGGGAAATTATCTGGCAAAAGTATTTTTTTACATGATAGTGCAGGTGTATGGTGATCTCTCTTACATCTTAGCAGAATGTATTGGCAGCCTTCATAGATGTGCAAGACCTAACCACGGTCATTCTCATCAAACACAAGAAATAAGATGGCCTCACCAGTGTCTAGACCAGTGGTTCTTAACCTGTAGACCGTGGACCACCAGTGGGCCGTGAGGATGAAAATCTCATCTGTGAGCCTCCTTCCTCTTTATTTTATTTATTTATTTATTTATTTATTTATTTGCTTTATTTTTATACCGCATTTTTCAGCCTAATTCGGCGACTCAATGCGGTTTGAGTCGCCGAATTTCCGCTCCTTTCACACTGTCTGCCACTCCTTCCCTGTCACTGACCATGGCATACATTCTGTATCAGAAACTAGAGCTGATGTGGTCTATCCAATGCAATTTTCTGAATTGGCACCCCAAATAACCAAACTGAATCTAAAGTTGGCACTCAAGACTTGGCTGTTTGGTTGTGCATTTAAGTAATCAGTTCTAATTTGCCAAATAGTCACTATTGAATGTTTTTATGTTGAATGTTTTTATATTGTGTAAATGCTATTTTAAATTGTAAGTCACTCGGAGCACCTTGGTGGAGAGCGACTAATTAAGAAATAAAGTGAAGTGAAGTGAAGTAAAGTTGACCAAAAACCAATTCGTAATTCTTTTGGTTCTAATGTTGGAGAGTGGCCCTTGGTCCAAGTGGTCCCTGGTCAAGTGGTCCCTGGTCAAAGTGGTCTCTAGTCAAGTGGTCCCTAGTCAAAAAAAGTTGGGAACTACTGGTCTAGACATTGGTATCTATTTTTTTTCAATAGCTCAACCATATAGCAAAGGCTGATGACCTTACTTGCAGTCGAATGCTTTCATAGCCTGTTCTTGTTGAATGAATTAGCTGGTCCCATCACTTATGAATATAATAATGTATAGAAAAAGTGCCTCCTATGGCCCTTGCACACAATCACTTAATCCGGAGTAAGGAAGTGGGATTAAAAATCCCAGTACCTCAAGGAGAGTCTTGAAAAATGGTCCCACAGCATTCAGAAAGATTTGGTTAATGTGGCTTGAAGGGAACAACAAAAGATACAGCAGGACATCCACCCGAACTTTTCTTTTAATATTTTTTCTGATGACTCTCCAAGATGCACTGCATCTCATAAACATTTTGCCAATATTGCAGTGCTGATGTGGATATACTACAAGTGCACAAGCATATGTTCTGTTATTTCCCCTCTCCCCCACTCCTGGTGCCTCCATTTTCAACCTTGTTTCCCTTTGGGGTCACTTGCCTGCAACATGATGCTGCCCACTGTACAATTTCAAGCTCTGTTTCCTTTTGGTAAATGAGAAGAGGAAGTGAGAACAAAATAATGCTTGGAGAGAGCTCTCATGGGAATTGCTTTCTTCGCGTGCTTCCATTTAGCCACCTGTGTCCGTGGCTCCATCAGTTTACATCCCTCCATTTTTAGGATTTTAAAATGATAAGCACTGGAGCAGTCTACACCAATGTATCAAAAGAACTCTCATTTTTTGCAAGTGCTGGGACATAGAATACTCCATAGCTGCACATTTTGCGCTCAAGATCAGATTTCTTGTAAATCTTTTTATCACGTTTTTCATGCCGTCTTGTGATCAAGGGCGCATTATGGGTGTGCATTTTGTAGCCAACCCCCTTTCCTTTATCCCACTTTCTACTGGGTTTTCAGGCCTGTGTAAAGGGGGCCCAAGTTTTGAAAAGACATATTAAAAAGTATGCTATATGCATTCAATATAAATAGTCTTCATCAAGACTGTCAGTACATCAAGATTAATTTGTACATTGTTGTTGAAGATGATTGATTGATTCAATATTATATTGAGACATATTTTAATCAGAAGAAGTGCTACCATTCACTCACAAATTTATTAAAATCTTGTCGTGATTAGTTTTAAATAGTCACATTCCATTTAGCAAAGGCATTTCAGTATTAAAGCAGCTTAAAGCAGAGTACATCCTTTGCAAGAAAGCAGACATGATGATAACCACAATTATTAATGGCCAATCATTTATAATGGTTATTAGGTTTCTGAAGTCTCCTTTGGTTGTCTTTATCTCACTTTCTCAATTCACTATGAAGCCCACTGTCCTTTCTTTTGCTGATTATTCTCCCATATTGATAGTAACATAACTTTCCATTTAAGTAAGTGCTTCATCATCTGCGGCTCCCAAAGCACTCTCCAAGCATTATACGCTTGAGGCTCCTCAGTGGGCCAGATGCCTGTATTTATGACAAGGGTAATCATTTAGTTCTCTGCAATCTCAGTTGGGACTTCAGTTCTTTTTGTATCATTGCACATCAGAATTAATTGTCTTCTCTGAGAATAAAGGGTCATTGTGGTGTCATCATAAGAGATTTGGTGAACTCAGCATAAGGCCTCACTTCAGCAGAGCTGTTAAGCATATGTCTAAATCTCCCTTAATCAGAAAAGCAATTAAGCAACTGTTACGTTAATTGCTTTGCTGAACCAGAGCCTATTTTGAATTTTTCTGAGAACGAATATAAGAAAACTGTCAACACACTGGGATATTTTATAAGTCTAAGTAACTTTGCTGGTGGGAGAGGGAGAAATCTGCAGTCTTCCTGCAATGCTGAAAATTATTTTCACCAGAAAGACAGAGATTCCCTTTGAAGAAGCAGCTTGTTTATCATTCTGCTTTTATATGGGGCTCCCTGTGGCTACCAAATAGGGCCAAGTATCTGTCTGTCTATCTATCTATCTATCTATCTATCTATCTATCTATCTATCTATCTATCTATCTATCTTTACATGGTAGTTGATGCTCTTTAGTTTTTACCCAGTTTGAAACTCCAGATGTTATTGAATGACAACTCCCATCACTTTTGATTATCTGTTGTGCAGACTGTATATAATGGGAATTGCAGCCCAATAGCAAATATGGCTCTAAGGTTGAGAAAACATTAAAAGACATTTTAAAGTCAGACATCATATCCACAAGCCTTTTTTCTAAATTAAAAATCCAATATCCTGACTAAACAAAGCAAACTGCAGCCTTCCAGATGTTACTGTATCACAACCCCCATCAGCCCTAGTCATGATGTCTAACTAAAGCATAATCTAAATGAAACATAATTATTTGGAATTTCAAGAAAAAGATATGCTTGTGGGAGAGGGAGAAATCTGCAGTCTTCCTTCAATGCTGAAAATACTTACCTCCAGAAAGACAGAAATTCCCCTTGAAGAAGTAGCGGCTTGTTTATAATTCTGCTTTTCCATTGGGCTCCCAGTGGCCGTTGAATAGGGCAAATGGCAGTCCATAGCTATTTCTGTGCTTTAACTCCTGCAGACTCTGAACTGCCATTTTTCTGACCCCAAAAAAGGCAAATTCATGAAACAATATTAGTAGAGAGGGGAAAATATTATTCTAAAATTTCAGATGATGCATACAGGAATCACCATTGCAGGCAGTTTATTATGTATGAGAGAAGTAGGAAGACATATTTTATATGTTTGTGTAATTAAAATATAGTTTTAAAAGGTTTAGTCAGATTAATAAGGGACATGTTTTTTGGAGATCCAAAAGGTTTTAATAGAGTGATATTACATTATATTAATGGTGACCCTTAATTATGATAATTTGGTATTGTTTCACACTTTGAATTCACAGATTTGCCAAGTGTTTTGAAAGCTAAACAGAAAAGAAATGGATACTTCTATATTGTTGTTACTGCTGATAATGCTGGCATTATTGTTACTATTATAAATATACTCACTTCCCTTTACAAAATAAATTCTAAGTTGCTTTTTGACAAATTTAAATAGATGCAAATGCAATATTTAAAAATCCACTATAAAGAATTAACTCTTTTGTTCCTTCCTAGATATATAACTGAAAATCCCATGGCTGTACCTTATTCAAGGTGGAATTGGCTTACCGCTTATCTCAAATAAATGCTGCTCCTCTCCAGTTCTCTTTCTCTTTTGAATATTTGGCAACATTAACATTTTTTCTGGTCATCATATTGACAAAAGAGTGTTCCGTTAAGTAAATCATTAGGTCAATAGAGTGACAAAGAACTGTCCCTCTTAAGAAAAAAGAATTGTCACTCAGATGTTTGGATTTAGTCAGTTTCTTAAAAACTACAGGAGAAAATTATGCTTATCGTTGGGCTGCATTTAATTGGCACTTATCTGTTCTTCTCCCTCCCCCTGCCCCGGCTTCTTTCAGATTTGTGTGGTGATTGCTGCTGTTTTTGGCATTGTTATTTACCGTGTTGTGACTGTCAGCACTTTTGCTGCCTTCAAATGGGCTTTAATCAGGAATAACTCTCAGGTTGCAACTACTGGGACTGCAGTGTGCATCAACTTTTGCATCATCATGCTACTGAATGTTGTAAGTAGAGATACTCATATCTGGGCACATTTCAGTCTATGATCTAAATCAGGGGTATCAAACTCATTGTCATTGAAGGCCACACTAGACTTATGATTGCCTTTAGAATCCATGGACGGATAATCCATGGTTACAGAGGGCCAACTCTATCTATCTATCTATCATCTATCTATCTATCTATCTATCTATCTATCTATCTATCCACACACACACACACACACACACACACACAGTAGTTGGTGCTCTTTAGTTTTTGTCCATTTTGGATCCCAAGATGCTATTGAATGACAACTCCCATCACTTTTGATTCTTTGCCATGTGGACTTTGGAAGTCAGATGTGGCCACAATAGTCCATGCTCTTGTAACATCCTGAATAGATCACTGCAACACACTCTATGTGGGGTTGCCTTTGAGGACTTAGGAAGCTTCAATTCGTCCAACGGGCAGCAGCCAGATTTCTCACCGGAGCAGCGTACAGGGGGCATACAACCCCATTACACCAGCTCCACTGGCTGCCAGTCTGCCACCAAGCACAATTCAAAGTGCTGACTTTAACCTATAAAGCCCTAAATGGTGCCAGCCCAACTTATCCGTCTGAACGTATCTCCCTCTATGAACCATCTCAGAGATTAAGATCTTCTAGGGAGGCCCTACTCTCAATCTCACCTCCTTAGCAGGTACGGTTGGTGGGGACGAGAGACAGGGCCTTCTCAATTATGGCTCCTTCATTGTGGAACTCCCTCCCTAGTAACATCAGGTTAACCCCTTCTCACCCCTGACCTTTAGGACAAAACTGAAAACTTGGATGTGAAACCCAGCTTTTGGATAATCAATTAGTGCAATGTGTTAATATAGAATGATGCAATGATAACTGGAACGGCCTGGACTACAATATTGGATTATGTGATTTTTATGCTTTTAATGTTGAAATGTTTTAGTGGGCGTTTTAATGTATATGTTTTATTTTCTGGAAATGTATTGTAAGTATTGTATGGCATCAAATTGTGCCTTTATGTACACTGCTTTGAGTCCCCTTCGGGGATGAGAACAGTGGGATATAAATATGGCAAATGAATAAATAAATAATGAGAATTGCAGCCCACTAGTACTTATGGCTCTAAAGTTGAGAAAACATTAAAGGACATTTTAAAGTCAGACATCATCTCCACAAGCCTTTTATAAAAATTAAAAACCAACAATCCTGACTAAACAAAGGGAACGGCAACCTTCCAGGTGTAACTATATTATAACTCCCATCAGCCCTAGTCATGATGTCTAATGAAGGGGAATAAAGGAGTTGTAGTCCAGCATCTGGAGGGCCACATAAAATGGCATGGCAGGCCATATTTGACCCACAGACCTTAAGATTGATATGTAATTTAAATGGTTTACCATAGGTACTCATCTTCCCCTTAATACAATATCAGAATACTCAGAATTTTGCTTTATCTAAACAAAACCATCATCTATATGAGACATAACTATTGGAACCTAAGATTTCAAGAAAATATGCATGCTTCTGGGAGGTACTTTCAGATCTGTTGTTCTCCAAAAGTTCAGTCCATCCTTGGAAAACTTAAAAGGAGAATTACTGCCTCTGCTCTCTCCATCGCAGCACTGCTAATGACCATTTTCAATACCTAGGTGAGAAAATGGTTGCTGCAGACAGCAACCATGCCCCCTGAGGTGGCATTAGTGCTTTTCCAACTCCAGTGAATGACTCTCAACTTATCCATGGGTCATATCAAAATCCATAATTTTGGCCCCAAAACATGTCCTCAACTTATACAAGGGGTCATGTAAGTCACGGATCTCTTCACAGATACATACTACTATGACTCCTTTCAAATTTGGTCTATTTCTCTGAAATAGGACATATACCTCTATTCTAAACATCAGACTCATTCCATCAGGTGTGTTTTTTTAAAAAAAAAGTTTTGTCTTTGTATTGTTTTGGTTGGTTCCTGTTTGTTCCTTGCCTCAGTAGCCCTTGTGGGCAAAGATGCAATATAGAACTACATTGAATAAATAAATATTTCTAAACGAAGAGTTATTCAAGACAAAGAAAAATTCAATCCACTGTATTTCCAAATTGGCCAACCAAAAATTATTTTTTAAAAATAATTGCTTTCTTAGAAAGCATATTTATTTATGAAAAGCTTACGTTTATACTTTTCAGGGCAAAAATATGTCCAAACCAGTTTCATATGTGCTTTAGTGGTTCTGAGGCCTTGTTTAGACAGTTGCATGAAACCTTCAGAAGCTCTTCAGTGTTTTTTCTAGTTAAAAAAGGCTGGTTCTGCCTCTCATGTCTCTTGCAATAATCATCACAACTGTGTTGGAGGAGTAAGGAATGAAGGCTATAGGCAAGTAACACGATTCTCTTCAAATGTATATTATACTGTCAAATTATAATTGTGGGTCATATTTTAGATGCTATTTTTTCATTTGTTGCAGTTGTACGAAAAGGTTGCTCTTTTTCTGACAAACTTAGGTAAGTAGAGCTAAAAATAAAAGAACGTCTTTCATGGCGTATTAATCCATACCACCCTCGTTTACTGCATGAATTAATTTAATGCTGAAAATATGTTAATATTTCAAAGTGTGTTTATGCATGCATGTGGATATATTTTCATGTATAAAATCATTCTGTGTACAATCTAGCATTAAAATAATCTCAAGCACAGGGGTCGAGAAAAAATATGGAGAGATCTTACTAGATGTACTTCTTAGATGTACTTTCTATCATTCAGAGTAGGCAATTTAGATAACTACCCATATATACTCGAGTATAAGCCGACCCGAATATAAACTGAGACACCTAATTTTATCACAAAAACTGGGAAAGCGTATTGACTCAAGTATAAGCCGAGGGTGGAAAATGCAGCCGCTATGGGTAAATTTCAAAATAAAAATTGATACCAATAAAATTACATTAATTGAGGCATCAGTAGGTTAAATGTTTTTTAATATTTACATTAAACTGTAATTTAAGATAAGACTGTCCAACTCAGATTAAACCATTATTCTAACTTTCTTCAATGTAAATGTGCTTATGTATCCTTCTAATAATAATAAAGAGAGTAAAATAATAAGTGTAATGAAAATAATATTAACAACTGAGTAAAATAATAAATAACCTTGATTCGAGTATAAGCCAAGGGGAGCTTTTTCAGCCTGAAAAACTGGGCTTAACTTGAGTATATACAGTAATTCAGCAGGGATAATATTTTATTGCAAATCTACCCAATGAACATTTCTTAAATTAATACATAAACTGATATACAGTTTTAATATGGGATCCACACTTTTCCATATTTTTCAAACAGTTCTTCTAAACCAGGCATGGGCCAACTTTTTTGCCTTGGTTCTCCAATGCAGGCCAGGCCAGAGGGAGGGGCTGGGGAGGGGCCGGGCACACACTGGGCAGGGATGGCCTGGGAGAGGGTAAGGTCAGGAGGGGTCAGGGCAGGGCCCAGGTCATCCTCAGGTTGTCCTCCCAGCATAAAGACAGGGCTACTCACCGCATCCTCACCCGCCAGGAGGAAGGCGGGACATGCATCGACATTGCTCTGAACCTCCCCCCCCCCCAAATCCTTCTCTCTGTCTTCCTCCCCTGATCCTCTTAGCATTATGCTGAGAGGAGTGTGAGATAGGCAGTGGCTGAACCGCTGCATGCCTTCCTCGCGCCATCCTCCCAGCATATGGATGGGGCTGCTTGCACCATCCTTATGCTAGGAGAAGGAGGAGGGCGAGACACATGATGAATGRTCCAGAGGGCTCTCAGCTGCTGAGTGGAGCCCCCGGTGGCGCAGTGGGTTAAACCCCTGTGCCGGCAGGACTGAAGACCGACAGGTCGCAGGTCCGAATCCGGGGAGAGGCGGATGAGCTCCCTATATCAGCTCCAGCTCCTCATGCGGGGACATGAGAGAAGCCTCCCATAAGGATGATAAAACATCAAAAATCATCCGGGCGTCCCCTGGACAACATCCTTACAGACGGCCAATTCTCTCACAACAGGATGCTCCTGACACGGAAAAAAAAAAGCTGCTGAGTGCCTTCTTCCCTTATCCTTTTGGCATAAGGCTGCAGCAGGCCACTGTGTCCTTATGCCAAGAGAAGAGGAAAAAAAGAGGGCCTGAGATACACGCCCAGGAGGACGCTCTGGCCCTGGGCCTTGGTTTGCCCATGCCTGTTCTCAACAGAGTACATAAAAATATGTGTATCAAGATAAACAATATACAAAAATGCATCTTATTACAGAAATAACACAGCAATGTCAGGCATATAATAGCAATGCCCATGTAACTAATGTATAGATATGAAAGTGTGATGGTGTCAGTTGAAAGCAGAAACGTAGCAATGGTCCTAGCTTCTAGACTAAACCATGTTAGAAGATATCCTGAATGCACATAAAGTGTTTATGAGCCTTTACCCTTAGAAAGCTCTGGAGAAATTTTTTTCAGTCTTCTGCTATATCAGATTGAGGCTATTCTTTTGCTACAGATTTTTTAAAAATCCCCCTGCAATACTTTAGGCACACACAGTATTTTATTGCTCAGAGCTTGTCTATTTCTTAGGGCTCCATGGCATGTATATTCTATGCATGAGTTGGTATTTGAAATGGTTAGTTAGTATGCTCATATCCTAATTGGAGTAATGTGTTTTCAGGCACTCTTAATGAACTGAAGTCAGTTTGGGATTTATCATCCAGCATCTTAGCGTACATTCTGTCAATTCAGTTACAGTGTATGTTGAAAGTGGACTGCATGTAAGAGACACTCATTAAAAAGAAGCCAAAAGGTTTCCTCCAGCAAACTCTAGTCCAGTCCATTTCATGTCTTGTTATAGGATCAAGTTACAAAACACCAGAGTAGAACTGTAAGCATTTTACCATGTCCCTTTTGTTTACTTGTGGATAAAATTCACCATGTTTAATCTTTAATCCCATGCAAGTGAATTTAGGAGTCTCATAAAACTCATCAGTACATACTTCTGAGTGAACACACATCAGAGTAAAAGAAGGTCCATCTAGTCCAGCATTATAATTCCCTAAGTGATCAACCAAATATATGCCACTGGAAAGTTCACAAGCATGGCACAAATATTATTTGTTCTTTCTTGCTATTTTTCTGCATTTTTGTGTGCAGAAAGGCAAAGATCTCTGGGTCAGCATCTCTAGCATCTCTGGGTCAGGCTAGCAAAGACACCTGATTAAAATCTTACCAAGCTTTTGCCAAAACCATTGTATAGCTGGCTGGACCAGTGGTGTGATTCCAGTCCAAGACAACTATGTTCTTGATACTCAGACTGATCTGTGAGATCAGCAGTCAGCTTTGCAATTTCATTATCAGGCCTCTAGAGTCCCTCCTGTATTTCTAATACCATATTCAGTTATAATTTTGATTTTATGCGCCTTAAATACCAACCTATGGTTATCATAGCGCTTTCTTGGCAAAATTTATTCACAGGAGATTTGCCTTCTTCTCAGGCTGAGAGAAACTTTCCTAAGGCCATAATGTGAGTTTCCATGTCTGACCAGAGATTAAACCCTGGTCCCCCTTTCTCTAGTGTGAGTACATGCGTTGAAATCTGTTCTCTTTTCTACAGAGCAGCCTCGTACTGAGTCTGAGTGGGAGAATAGCTTCACTTTGAAAATGTTTCTTTTTCAATTTGTCAATCTGAACAGCTCTACCTTTTATATTGCATTCTTCCTTGGAAGGTAAGAGTATTAAATGTGTATTCAACTTCTTTGGAAAACTGACATGGGAAGTTTTTGAAATTATGACACTGTTACATTAAATCAGGAATGGGCAACTTGTTGGCTACCTGGGAGCTGCTCGTGGCCATTTTCTGTTGTCTCTCTGACCCACTGTTGACTTTCTCTCTGCATTTTTGCAGTTGTTTTAAAACATGGGGAGAACTGCTCTGAAAACTTTGTCATTCAAAGTAAAAGCTCCTTTAAAAAGGCTCTAAATTATTCGGGGGAATGCAAGATGGGAAATGTGTAGCTACTCCCTCTTGAGTTAATTCAGAGGCGTTTGTTTTTTTTTTTTCTAAGCATGGTGGAAATGCTATCTACACTCCTAAAAGATATTTGGGGCATTTTGGAGCAAAGAAAAAGTTCAAAGAAAAAACATTAACCCCAAGGGAGCCTTACTTTGTCTACACCTGAATTACATATTTGTTTAGAGCGATAGGTTCTCCAAATTGCGTATTGGCATTGGTGTGTTTCTCATATATTCAGGTATGGTCATAAATATTTAATATCCTTGTTCTTAAAAAAGCATGTTTGATCTTATGTGTGATCAAAAGGAGTGATGTGTGCTGTTGTGTTGAAGATTTACAGGTCACCCAGGTGCCTATTTGAGAATCATAAACAGATGGAGGCTGGAAGAGGTAAGTATTTCTTACTATTATTAAGACCAGAGCCAGGAAAAAATTTTAGATTACATTTCCCAGAACGTTTGAAACAAGCTCACAGAATTTCCACTGAAACTAATCAAGGATTTCTAGCAACTGTAGCATTTCAGTAGTCAGTGGAATTATGATGTGGGATGACTCAGTACGGGGGAGCGTTTGTGAGAGTGCAAACTACATTTTTACATCTGTAATCTTATCTAGATTTAACTTAATAGTGCACCACTGACTTCAATAGATATTTCCTCTGAATAAACATGAAAAGGAAAGAATATACTGTCACAAGCCTTGGCTCCACAAGTTTTAGAGAACAATCAGCAAGTGTTCATCATCGTGCACAAATATAAGCAGCAAAAATAAACACCAATTGTGCTTGACCCAGTCTTTGCTTTGCTCCCTTGCCCCCACTCTCCTCCCCGCTCTCCTAGTGCCATCCCAGCGGATGCCTTATCGATCTCTGTATGCAAATGGGTATCATAATGGTGCTAAAGCAGACTTGGAACAACTTCATGGAACTAGGATACCCGTAAGTAAATACAGGATTTGAAATAAATAAATGTGACCAAGCCTCCAGACAGCAAAGCTCGCTGTGCAATGAGATAATAAGGAATAGTGAATGGACCAATGGAACGACTATGGACTTAATTTTGGATGGCATGATTTTAATAACTGTTTTTAAATCGTGTTGTTTATTGGTGGTTTTAATATAAATGTTATTTTAGTATCAATATCAATATTTAATTTTTATGCTTTATGCCTAAATGTTATTTAGTTAGGTTAATTTATAGTTACAGTATATGTTATTGTCTTGCTATTATCTTTTATTTTATCATATATGTATGGCATTGAATTTTACCTTTAAAATGTTGGGAACCATTTCGAGTTCCCTTAGGGCAGTGGTACTCAACCTGTGGGTTCCCAGGTGTTTTGGCCTACAACTCCCAGAAATCCCAGCTAGTTTACCAGCTGTTAGGATTTCTGAGAGTTGAAAGCCAGCCAAAACATCTGGAGACCCATAGGTTGAGAACCACTGCTTTAGGGGGGAGAAAAGTGGTACATAAATGTAGTAAATATAATAATGATAATGATGATGATGATGATGATGATAATAATAATAATACGTTTAGTATTAAGTTGTTTCCTTGCTGGTAGAATGCATATAGCATTTCATTACAAGGTTTCTCTTAGGTAAGTAAGTAAGTAAATAAGTAAATAGTAAGTAAGTCTCTTAGGTAATGTCTACTACAATTTAGGATGATGTCTTTCTGTAGCAGGGTTATCTAAGGACCCTTCCACACAGCCCTATATCCCAGAACATCAAGGCAGAAAATCCCACAATATCTGCTTTGAACTGGGATATGTGCCTTGATATTCTGGGATATAGGGCTGTGTGGAAGGGCCCGAAGAAAAGCAGGGAACTCTCCTATATATTTGTTTAACACAGTTGAAATACATTTTTAAAAATTTACTGCACACTTCTAGGAATGTCTTCTCAAAAGCAAAAACCTATTGAATTCAGAGGGATTTTTTCATCCCAAAGTATGCATATCAAAACAAATTTTATGAAATGTTTATTTAAAACAACCCAATGTGTAATGTGTATGTATCCTAAGGCCTCTGATTCTCTATTTAAGAACTGTTCCTTTGTCTGACTCCCATATGGAGTCTTTCTTCTGTTTGGGTGAGGGACATATCATCCACTAGTGTTTGCTCTGCCCAAATTCTCTCATCGATAGCTAAATCTATTGCAAAAATTGATTCAAGTTTCTGAACAAGCGGTGGCTTGTAATTCATTTTCCAATGATGGTAACAAAGCTATGGGAGAAGTCAAGGCCCTCAACAGTATCAACATACTCAGAAATGATTCAGCATTTGTTGGCATTAAAGCCTATTATGCAACTTCATCTATGTCTGCCCCACAGCCCAGCAAGGTACTGGTAGCAGAGGTTTCATTGCCTTTGGGTTTTTTAAATCTCCCATGAGGTCACGAAGAGTCGGAAACGACTGAATGAATGAACAACAACAATATGTTAAGCACACAATTTGAGGTAAAAGTCAGGTCAGAAGAGACACCATGCTGCAGAGGACAGAGAATCAATTCTTCATGAACCTAAGTAGTAGAAAAGGAAAGTATAACATTCTGATAAAACCTCAGCTGAGGCCTAGGATCCTGCTTCTTCAATATTCACAGTTGAGATAATTGTTCCAGTCCAATTATTGTTTATTCCTGACTATATCTGATATCGAACCACAATTGGATCCTAGTCAGGACTAGTATGTCCCTTATCCTCCACTCCATCAGTGTTAGGGTTAGGTAAAGAGATGTGTGTTTGTATTATGAATGAACTGCAGTGGGATCAGTCAATTAATGCACACATATGCCTCTGTGAACACACATGCTGTATGACTGAATGATGTGCAAGTGCTGATCTTAACTAGTTTGGAAAAAAGAATTTACAAATGAAATGTGCATATACAGGTTAATTCAGAATTGGTGGACTAGACGAAGATTGCGGCAAGAGTATGGTTCTCATCGAAAAGCAAGATTCCCACAGTGGGAGAAGGACTACAATCTTCAGCCAATGAATGCCTATGGACTTTTTGATGAATACCTAGAAATGAGTATGAAAATTCTTACTTATATTGCTTGATCACAGTTATCATTTATAATATATAGATATAATATGACAAATGGTAGATTTGCATGAAGCTCAAAGGAGTGGATCGACGACAAATCGGAGAGGAGAGGATATGTATATAATATATACCAAGACAGTATGATTTCATCCTTAAACATTAGAAAAATTGGTCTTCGAAAATACTTTCAGAGTAATGCTTTAAGTCTATAGATAGATTACTACCATAGATTGATGCAGGCTGTGTTCAGAACACTTATTTTAATCTAGGATCCTATACACTTATAGTTTCTATTCATATCAGTGGATAAAACCTATGGTTTTCTTAAGTTTATATGGAGACTTTGCATTAGGCATCCCTAACTTGTTTTTCTTCCCAGCCCCACCACTTCAGTCTTCTTCTTGTTTCTATCTAAACACTTCCTTATAGTTTCTTATTTGCTTTTTTTAATGTCAAGCCACTTTGAGTCCCCTTTGGGGAGATAAAGTGGGACAATAATAAAAGTAATAACAACAACAACAACAACTATTATTGTTGTTGTTATTATTTGCCCAACTCTTGAATTGTGATAGAGGCATATAAGTTTTTTGCCTGTATCCATACTTTTTATTGAAGTATGGCACACAGGCAGAATAGCTTACTGTGAATCCAGTGAATACAAAATATCAATCTCTTCATCCCCACTCACTTTTTCAAAAACAGAATTTTTTTAAAGGACAAAATTGCATGGAGGCATAGTGCTATCAAAACAATAACATTTTGGAGTTGGTGGAAAAATCTGACTTCCCAAGGTTTTTTTCCCCCTCATCTTCCTAGTCATATAGTTTCCACAGACCTCTTTCCATAATGGCACATCTCATAAAATAAAGATAAAAACATTAAGATATATATATATATATTTGCAGTCACACAAATCCTTTTCTTAAGCTTTTAACTGAAGACTAGCTGCAAATTTAATGGTTCTGCCTTTTTTATTATCCTAATCTAGACACAAGAATTAAAATTTTGCAAAAATATTTGTAGAGGTGATTTAAGAAATTGTTGAAGAGAGTAAATTCTAACAAGGGAACACATGCAATCTAGAAGCGAACAGATATACTCATTACTTTGGATGTGTGAGGCCTTTCATAGAATCATAGAATCAAAGAGTTGGAAGAGACCTCATGGGCCATCCAACCCCCTGCCAAGAAGCAGGAATATTGCATTCAAATCACCCCTGACAGATGGCTATCCAGCCTCTGTTTAAAAGCTTCCAAAGAAGGAGCCTCCACCACACTCTGGGGCAGAGAGTTCCACTGCTGAATGGCTCTCACAGTTAGGAAGTTCTTCCTCATGTTCAGATGGAATCTCCTTTCTTGTAGTTTGAAGCCATTGTTTCACATCCTAGTCTCCAGGGAAGCAGAAAACAAGCTTGCTCCCTCCTCCCTGTGGCTTCCTCTCACAGTATATTTCTCACAGTATATCTCTTTCAGTATATTTTGGTTTAATCTAGCTTTCAGTTTCGTATTTTAAAAGATAAAGTGGTCAGCAAGCTTGCCAGAATATTTATTTAAAGCTTACTCATTGGATTTGTAGGTTGAAACGGAAATCCATTTGGTTTTCAGTAGGAACCCAAGATTTTTATTTGTTTATCATGTCTTCTGTAGTTAATTGTCATTGAGCCAGCAGTTTTTCGGAGGTTAGGGACACAGGAACCCTGTGAAATTGGAAATAACAGTTAATATTTTAACTCCCCCCCCCCCCACTTTTAAACATGTTACAGATGCTGCTACTGCAAAGCTCTTTGTCTTGCTCCTCATCACCTCTTCTGCCATTCTCAAAGCCTTCTCCCTGCACCTTCAGGAAAGCAACATGATAGTATCATTCTCCTCTCAAGGAGAAGGAAGGCAACAATAAAGGAGATTTTTTAGTACCAACTACTAATCTCTTTTTGCATCATCTCCATAGGAGACCCACACTGCAGATTTTTGTAGTAGTGTTGTTGTCCGAGAAGTGTGGGAGGAAAGCTTGGAGGCCAGTATCCAAAACAACTTCCAAAACACAAAAGAGAATTTATGAAAGCTGAGAGCTGATTATACTGTTTTTAGGTCATGTGTTTTAAGTATGAACTGCAGCGTATTAACAAAGATGTTCACATTAATGTAAAACAGGTAGGAAGAAGGGACAATGATGCAACTACACTGTCTTTTTCTTTCTATTTTCCTGCAAATTTATGGTTGAATGTGTCATTTTCCCAATTCCCATTACAGTTCTTCAATTTGGATTCACAACCATCTTTGTGGCAGCTTTTCCACTTGCTCCACTTCTGGCCTTACTTAACAATATTATAGAAATTCGGCTTGATGCTTACAAATTCATTTCACAGTGGAGACGGCCACTAGCTTCAAGAGCCAAAGATATAGGTAAACCATTTATGCATATGTAAGGTGTTTGCTCAGTATCACAACTTGTCTGATGTGTTAGAATTGTGGTGTATTTCAACAACAGCTAGAAGCTGAAATTTCCAGTCCAAGACACACATGTTAAATAGACCTCAATCCAATTGCCCCAATTGGATTGTCCCAATTTGAGTAAAATGAACGAGTCATTGTAAATCACTGTGATTCAGTTAAATTGGGAGAAGCGGTTAAATTGAAAAATGATAAAACTTTGAAAACAGGAGACAGAGATAATATTTTCAAGGAGGTAAAACTCATGACAATATATTTTACTAAAAAAAGAGCAGCCACCACAGTAATACAAGGTATATCAAGGCATGGTTTCTTTTCAGTAACTGGCAGAGAAAACATAGATCCCAAAACAGGATCTGCTGTGGTCTTCATATTGGGGAAAGAGAGAAATTGACAATGGCAGTGAAGACTGAATCTTGGTTGTATGCTTGAAGTATATAGAAGGAAAGATTGTCTGTGTTTTCATTTTCTATGCATCTGTGTAAATCCACTTTAGACTCGTGCTCATAGAAGTACGAAATAGTAATTCTGCACATATTAGGCTTTTGACATCCTATGTCAGTGTGGTGGTGAATATGTTCTAGAGTTTAGTCCAAACATTGAAGAGATGTACCCAAGGGGCATTGGGACCAATGCGGTGTAGTGATTCGAGTGTTGGACTATGATTTCAGAAGACCAACGTTTTGAACCCCATCATTTTTTAGTATACTTGAATTCAGTTATTTATTTATTTTTTGTCATGGGTGATTTTGAAATAACATGTAGTAAACAAAACCAAATCATCCAATTATATTGAAGTGCTGTTAAATTCAATATGTCTTTCTTCAAGATACAGGTATAAGACTGTAAGAAATATATAAGTAAAGTGTACTAATCACTTTAAATAACATTTGCATTTGAATTTCTTCTTATGCTAACTTAACACAACCTATTTTTTATTTCACAGGAATCTGGTATGGTATTCTAGAAGGCATAGGAATTCTCTCTGTCATCACAAATGCATTTGTTATTGCTGTAACTTCAGATTTCATCCCCCGACTTGTTTATGCTTACAAATATGGGCCATGTGCCGGTCAAGGGGAGGCAGGACAAAAGTAAGTTTTCTCTTTGGAAACATGCAACACATCCATTCTCTTTGCACCAACATATGAAAAGACTAATCTTCTAAGTGTGTGTTTTAGCTTCTAAATATATGGGAACACAACTAGTATCCATTTCACTAAAATGGCAGTAGGAAGAACTTTCACTGAGTAGTTATTTACAAATACTATTATTGGTGCAGAAAATTAATTTTTCTGACTCTTGATTTTAATTTTCAAAATGCTTTATAGTGCTCCTAAATCACCCAGCAGTTTTAGAAGAAAGTGACAGGGAACTAACCAAATAAGAATAGAACATGTAAGCCTAGCTGTTAAATATAGTGCAGGAAAGCAATAAAAATGAACAACATTTTAGTAAGGGCAAGCACAACACTTGACAAAAAATGAACTGGAGAAGGCAAACCATCCTAGTAGAGGTGGAAAATGTGATATATGGTGGGTTTGTTAATTTTTTACAGGACACATAGGTTATGAGGGCAGAATGATGGAAAGTCTCAATTGGTAAACTTTAGACACATTTTAGAAATGTAAATATCTTAAAGAAATGCTTCATTTGTGAAATAAATTTTCAAATTCCTGTGTGCGGAAGGAATTTGCCAGTGGTGCACATGTGAGGCATATTTTGCACAGGTTTGGCACACTGGCAGAAAATTAACAGTTCAAATTACAGATTGTTGATGCAGAACTACAAACTCATTAGCCTGTCATGGATGTAACATTCAGTACATGTTAAAGAGGAGATAAATTTTCCATTTTCATAATGTGTGTAAACCTCTTCCATCAATATAGAATTAGCCACATCTGGTTTAAACAGTTGGGCTTCTGTCTGTCCTTGCAAACATCATGCATAACTATATGGCATTCAAACTTGTTTGTTTGCTTATTTGCTTTCTTTTTCCTTCCCTGCCAACCCAATGGGAATAGAAGTTTGTATTGCCCAGTTTTTCAATATGATCTGTTAGTATCAACACGTTCTTATGCTGGGAGTAGACAGCTTTTCACTGAGAAAGAGCTGGCATTATGTATTTCAGAACCAAGATAGTCAAAATGTGATTTACTGTGCCTTTAAGGTATCTTGATCCTTGGTCTTTGAAATATAGCCAATTGAAGTACATTTGACCCAACATTATCAGTTTTTATTATTAGCTGCATCTTCTTTGCCAAACAAAAACATATTGTCACTAAGACATTCCTGACTAGAATGCTGACTGTCTAGATTTCAATTTGAGCAATGTATGCTCACAGTTGGAGGTATTCCACAAAACAAACAGCCATACCTAAAGCAAAATTCCTTTTATGGAAAAATGATGAAAACAAGAGAAAAACATTTTGGGATGAGTGTATGGATCCTCAACTGGGAAACATATCATTAAGTACTACAAAGGTGGAACTATGGCACATCCTTCGGCTATGGAATGCCCTACCAGTGGAGATCAGGCAGACCCCCTCGCTATTGGCGTTTAGGAGGCGGGTTAAGACGTGGCTCTTCGAACAGGCGTTCGGATAAGCATGCAATAACATCTGACTCAGAAAGACGGCATACTGAACAAGGAATGGTAAAACGACTGTGAGATTTGGATCTGATTCTATTCGAGGCGTGATGACGTTATGTGTATTGTTTGTAGTTGTTTGTCACATATATTGTTCAATGTTGCACATTTTACTGTAAACCGCTTAGAGTCGCCGTTGGCTGATAATTGCGGTATACAAAAGGAGTAAATAAATAAATAATAAATAAATCTTCCCTTCACCTCCTCATATGTCATCACTCATAGCCAAGTACAACTGTCTTCCAAAAGTAGAGTCTTGGAAGTGAGTCTGTAAGTGACTGTGAAGACCTATTCTGGATGCACATGGTCTTTCACATTGAGGACATAGCTTTCCAGATGGAAAGCAGTCATGACAAGGATTTGCTTCCTCTCCGCACATTTCTTCCTTTCATCCTGTATTCGTGCTTCTTCAAAATTCATAGCACCATTGGCAACAGCTGACTTCCAATTACCAAGCTCAAGGGCCATGACTTCCCAGTTCTCTGTTCATACTGCATTTTTTAGGTTAGCTTTAAGCCCATCTTGAAAACTCTTTGTCCACCAACATAATGTTTTCCATTCTTGAGTTGAAAGTAAAGTAGCTGCTTTGGGAGATGGTGACTGCACATTCAGACAACATGGCCAGCCCAGCAAAGTTGATGACAGAGAATCATCACATCAGTGCTGGAGGTCTTTGTTTCTTCCAGAACGCTGGTGTCTGTCTACCTGTCTACCAAAGAGATGTGCAGGATATTTTGAAGGCAACACTGATGGAATCCTTCTAGAAGTTGAGAATGGTGTTTGTAGATGGTCCATGTTTCAGTCGTACAATAGAGTTGGAAGGACAAAAGCTTTATAAATAAGCATCTTGGGGGATACCATGTCCTGATCCTTAAACACTCTGCTTCATTTGAAAAAATGCTGCATCTCCACAACTCTCCTTTTAAGTTATTACAGTTCCTCCCCATCATGGACTTTTACTGGTCAATAGAACAGGAACATCAGAGCAGCATCCAACTATGTTCTTATGGCTAACACACAGTGAGCTATCCTCCAGGATCTCCTAGTGTAGCCTGCTGTGCACCCACCCATAAGAACATAGGTGGCTGCTGCTCTCTACTGGCCAGGAAATGGCCATTGTTGCAGTTTAAAGGGGGATTGAGAGGAGGAGGTAATGGCCCAATAGAACAAGCAACCGGAATTGCAAAAACAATGGAATGAACTAGTATAACAAATAGATATAAACTGAATGTTCCTTACATACCGTAAGGAACATTCAGTTTATATCTATTTGTTATACTAGTTCAAAAATAGTTCTCATAATTCAGGAGTAATGAACTGAAACACCCAATAGTTTGGACTTAAAGTGGTAATAGTGAACACAGGCCTTACTGATTGCAGTTGAACTACTTTAAAACATTTGGATACCACCCAATATGTGTCTCATTGAAACCAAAAAAAGTGTAATTGTCCACAGTAATAATAATAAATAATAATGACTTTTATTTTTACCCTGCTATCATCTCCTTGAAGGGACTCGAGGCAGCTCACAAAGCACTCCGAAGTACTGGACATAAAATAAAAACATTCCATAGACATAAAAACGATAATAACATAAAATTAGACTGCCAACACATATAAAGTATTTTAGTTCAATTAAGGCTTAAGTAACTGTATGACTGCTAGCTGGCATATCCCTACATACCAAACCGTGCTCTCAAAATATATAGTTTCTATTGACATTTATTTTATGAAATAAATCTATAACTAAATATTGTAAAAGAGCTTTAAAAATAAGTATCATCCCCTTCAAGTGGGAAAAAGAAAATTGAAATGAGTACTTTTATAAACATGAACTTCTATCTCCGAGTGCTTTTCAGACAATATACGTAATATAAATTTCAGAAAATAATGTTCAGATAAAGCTAATCATGTTTGGAAGAAGCTATTTACTCAAATGTTCACAAATGATGTGTACAAAACAGCTAATGACAGGTGGTTTCCATATCAACCATAAGTTTACAACCAGGAATAGAGGATTAGGAGCTCTTCCCAGTGTTCAATATTATTTCATAATCCACATAATTAAGATTATCATGAGATTTCAC